ACTTAACCAGTTCGATAATAATAATAAAAATCTGTAGTTTACACGAGTGCAAACTTTAATTTTTAAAAAAAAAAACCGAGCGGCAAGTTACGTCCGAAAAGTCGACAATAGTATAAACAACATAGTAGAAAAGATAAAATGTGGTAAAAACAAATCTGAAGGATAACAGTGATTGATAAAAAGTAATATATAATAATAATACATTTGGTGGCCCTGAAAAGGGCCGTTTTATCACGAGCAGGTAGGGGGGGAAGTGATCAAATGTCGTACGTACGTCGGTTATTTAGAACTCGTATACTTGGTTACTGCTTTAGTGCCTTCACTAACGGCGTGCTTTGCCAATTCGCCGGGTAACAACAAACGAACGGCGGTTTGAATTTCCCGACTAGTGATCGTAGAACGTTTATTGTAATGCGCCAAACGACTGGATTCGGATGCGATACGTTCGAAAATATCATTGACGAAACTGTTCATGATGCTCATGGCTTTTGACGATACACCAGTATCCGGATGTACTTGCTTCAAAACTTTATAGATGTAAATACCGTACGACTCTTTCCTCTTGGGTTTGCGTTTTTTGTCGGACTTGGTGATGTTCTTCTGCGCCTTGCCGGACTTTTTCATCGCTTTGCCTGCCGATTTTGCTGATGGAGCCATTTCGAAATGGTAAAACACAAAAGAAGGAGTTAATAACGTGAACGTGAATAATGTAAGTTTAAAGCCTTTTGCTTGTATATATACTATAAACGTAGGAATGTCGTACGTTTTGATTGGCTAGTAGATATATTTTAAAAATAAAAATCCACATATTATTGCGAGTAGTTTGTGTTTAAAAAATGTCGTTTTATCTCGTCATAATGTAATATTTCGCCACAATGAAAAATTAACCACCGTTATATTTTATCTATATAAGATCCACGTGTAAAATCAAAATTCTCATCACCATCTAAAGGAGTACATTGCAGAATACATATTATATTTTTCAATTTTCAACGACCCGACAACCATGAGTGGACGAGGTAAGGCAGGTAAATCCAAAGGTGGAAAGTCAAAGACTAGATCCTCACGAGCCGGATTGCAATTTCCCGTCGGTCGTATTCATCGTTTGTTGAAGAAGGGCAATTACGCTGAACGTGTCGGGGCCGGTGCTCCGGTCTACTTGGCTGCCGTCATGGAGTATTTAGCTGCTGAGGTTTTGGAATTGGCCGGTAACGCTGCCCGTGATAACAAGAAGAGTCGTATCATTCCAAGACATTTGCAGCTGGCCATTAGAAACGACGAGGAATTAAACAAATTATTGAACGGCGTCACTATCGCTCAAGGCGGCGTGTTGCCTAACATACAAGCCGTCCTTTTACCAAAGAAGACCGAAAAAACTAAGACAACTTAGTCAAATTTTTTTTCACATTAATATTATACCTGTACGCGTTTCAAAACGGCCCTTTTCAGGGCCACCAAAATTTACAACACTACTTTTTGATTTTTAACCTTTCTCTTTAAACACAAACAGGTGAATGAAGAATCTATTAACTCCAGTTCAAATAAAATGTTGTCGGATTTTAATACTTACTACTACTAACACGGTGAACTAGTTTTTCTGGATTTATCACACACCGCTTGTCTACAGCACTCCCTCTAACGCAGATATCTGAAACATTTTTCAACGGAATACGAGTTAAATAAATAAACTATTCTATCAGAAATTTTTCTCCGTTATACACATGTGACACTATTTCTGAGTTGGAATCTGACTGGGGTGGTACTGTGGGGAGATTGATGAGAAAATCGGAAAACGACCATTCTAGAGTATCTCTTCAGAGAAATTTCATTTAGGAAAAATTGCCATCATTAAAAGTTGGAGCAGAAAAGTTTGCACAACAAATCGAGGTGTGTTAAGCGATTAAAATAGTCCGAGCGAGCGATGGCTTGAATTTCTAGGTACACTCGAATGCATCTGTTTTTTTTTTCCATATTTTAATAAAAGGGAGGAAAAATTGTTTCGAAACTCAGGCTTGAACTATGAGTATGTAACAAGTAATAACATTAGACTACGACAAATGTTATTTAACATAGCATATAATATCCGCATTATATCAAAACTTTAAAAAGCTATAGTTTCGAAACTATGTCATTCTGCCAAATTCTTACTTCACCATCGTTTCTTAGATCGGCCAAATAGATATATTCAAAAGAAAAAAATAATTTTTTTCAACACCTAAAACGGGCTAACATGAGTCCAAATTTCAAGAAATATTTTCTGAATATTTTTAAGTGAACTACAACAAATAATAAAAGTTTTATTTTCGTATATTCGCATTTTTTTTTTACAATTTATCTTGGTTTTTCCCAAATATTAGGAAAACCGCTTGGCAATCAATCAAATAATGACCTCCCAAATCAGAAGTCTGATATATAACGCGCGGCAACATTTCTGGTACATAATACGAAATATAAAAAAAAAAAAAAAAAGTTTTGTAAACCCATACATATTCGTTACACTCAGAATCTAAAACGGCTTATACAATAAGACCTTTACATTCCTCGTGTTTTCTATAAAAATTAAAACCTGCGGAAAGAGGTAGTAATAATGGAATATAACTGCTGAACAATTTTATACGTGGTGGTCCTGAAAAGGACCTTTTTATTAATAAATTAAATAATGATGCGCACGCAATTTTACTTTTTGGCGGGTTTCTTGGTCACAACTTTCTTCGACGCTATAGGTTTAGCAGCTGGTTTCTTCGGTGCCGCTTTCTTGGGTTTAACGGCGACGGTCTTAACAACAGTCTTTATGGGAGTTTTTTTCACCTTCTTCGCTGCAGGTTCACCAGACGCAGATTTTGGCTTCTTAGTGGTGGTCTGGCTCGACTTCGTCTTTTTGGGTGTATTCGCGGCGGGTTTCACTTTTTTCGCAACTGGTTTCTTCGGTACGACGGCCTTTTTAGGTTTGACTTCGGTGACAGCCAATTTGTAATGACCTTTGGTTTGAACAATAACGCCGTTTGTCACAGATGCGGCCAGGAACTTCCTAATGAACGGAGCCACTTTGGACGGGTCCACTTTGTAATTGGCAGCCAAATATTTTTTAATAGCTGGTAACGACGATCCCTTTCGTTCCTTCAGCTCTTTGAGCGCAGACGTCACCATAAACGACGTAGGTGGATGGGTGGCTACGGTTTTTTTCGCTGCACCGCTTTTAGCGGCCGTCTTCTTTTTGGACGGAGACTTCTTGGCGGCGGCCGGTGACGAAGCAACCGGAGTTGCTGCTGTACTGGATACTGGTGCGGCGTCTGTCATGTTGTTAAGATCGGGAGAGAGAACGTAAGAAAAATCACGCGAAAATGAAATGTAGCGTCGGTATGCCGGATAACGTTCGGAGTGCTGGTATATTTATATATATATATATATATAGTGTGCCGTACCGACTAGTAAACGTGCGCAACGCAAAGCCGTCGATTACGTTGTGTTTGTCTAGATCATTTTCGCGATAACATTTCGGGTAATCAATCTAAAAGTTCAATTTTCGATTTTACGGAAAACCTACTAAATAACGAACAACCCTAACTATATATTTATCCAATTTTCTTTACCGAATATGCACCGTAAACCGTTTTTCCGGAGCGTTCACTTAGTTTTCGTTGGTCTTAGTCGACAGCTTATCAACAGACTGATATTATTAAAAATTATAAATTCTTTATTTCGACTTGTTCTTCAGATGTTTTCGAACGTGGACACGTTGCCAGTCCAGTCGCCGAACTGTTTCCGAACAAACGGCGATCATCGGGAAATGGACGTTTGGCGTCGGACGTTTTACGCATTAGGGACGTCTACGATCACACGTTCTAACATGTAGGCCATTACAGCGAATTGAATTATTCATATTGATTTACACGTAATAAACTTGATAACGTTTTTAGCAATTCGTTCATTGCTCGAGTCACCAAAAGTGGATAACTATCAGGGAGAGAAGACTAAATGGGTTGCAATAACGCTAATGCTAGTCCGCAAAGCCGGACAGCCAAGGAACTGTCAATCCATCAGTGGAATACAATCTGAACAATTTGATTTACAATAAATTCGATAATATCTTACGGAGATATGTGTTCCGTTTGTGCGGTTAAATATACAATTACGGTTAGGCTTAAATTAATCGATATAGACCATAGTAATGACAAATTCGAATTCCACAAGTGTATCTGGAACCCACATGTGATCATATTATACGGATACTAAGGACATAATTGCTGTAACCACTGTCGTAATATAATATTTGATTACGGGTATCAAAACATAGTGCTACATTTAAAACACTAATTGAACAGTATCTATTCATCAAATTTTCTATAACGTCTATAACCCATGCTAGAGTGTTACTTGTTTTTTTAATACAATATTATTTTCCTGGGAAAATAATTATGGGACAACACAGGACATCACATTGTGATGTCAAGTGTATGTCTATGCTACCTATATAACAATATAACTAGGAATAAGTACGTTTATATATATATATATATGATTGTGTGTGAAGTTTTTAAACGGTTTTTTCTTCGTACATAGATTTTTTTTAAGAAACCGAGTCAATGAAATATTTGTAAACTGATTTAATATATAATTATGTTTTATTCAAAAAGTTTAATCAAATATAGGTAGGTAGTCAACATTTAGAAATAACGTAATAATCCTTCTTGCGACTGTGGATTTAAATATCAGACATTTTACGAAATACGAACTCAATGCCCTGTAAGTGCATTCAAAGGTTCATTAAATAAAATACACTCAATCACTAAAGATCCGATTGAATGGATAAAAAACCGGTACAATATCTATAAGTCCATTTTTATCAAGAGTCCTAAACAGCTATTGAGAATATAATGTTACGCGACGCATTAATTTATTTATTCCTGTGTTTATCCTCGAGTATGAACCATTTAAATAATTTTGATTGTACCTCATATATTATGGGTAACACTCTTGTCATATGAAACATACCATCTAAAAACATTATCTTTTAATAGTTACAAGTTTATATAGTGTGTAAGTATATGGTGGCCCTGAAAAGGACCGTTTTAAATCTTAAAATTAATTTGACGAGACCACGCAGTAAACTTTTTTTTAGATGTGTTGATCGCAGTTTAGGGACGTTTAACCTCCGAAACCGTACAAAGTGCGGCCCTGCCGTTTAAGAGCGTAGACGACGTCCATGGCGGTGACGGTCTTCCTCTTAGCGTGTTCGGTGTAGGTGACGGCATCACGAATAACGTTCTCTAAGAATACCTTCAGTACTCCACGAGTTTCTTCGTAAATAAGGCCGGAAATACGTTTCACACCACCACGACGAGCTAATCGACGAATTGCCGGTTTTGTAATTCCCTGGATGTTGTCCCGGAGCACTTTACGATGCCGCTTCGCTCCTCCTTTACCGAGTCCTTTGCCTCCTTTACCACGTCCTGTCATGATACTGCCGGGTGTGTTAGTGGAGAGTTGAGTTGCTAAACGTTGGAAGTCACTTGCACGAATGAACGCGGTTGCCAAACCGACCGGTATTTATACATTTGGAACGGCAGCGCCGACCAATCCGATCGTTTCACCAAATATATATCCCCACTCCTTCCAGCAGTCGAATTTTGAATTAACTTCGGCCAATGAAAATGACTTATTCGTATCGAATAAATGTATATATAGTTGCTGCCTTTTATTTATCCGCATATCAACCAAGCGAGCTCTTTTTGGAGTTCAATTATTAGTTCCATTTAATTTGAGAACCGACCGAGGCATCGAGATGGCACGTACCAAGCAGACAGCCCGAAAATCGACCGGTGGCAAGGCACCGCGAAAACAATTAGCTACCAAGGCCGCACGGAAGAGTGCACCAGCAACCGGTGGTGTTAAGAAACCTCATCGTTACCGTCCGGGAACAGTGGCCCTCCGTGAAATCCGTCGGTACCAAAAAAGCACAGAGTTATTGATCCGCAAATTGCCTTTCCAACGGTTGGTCCGCGAAATCGCCCAGGATTTCAAGACCGACTTGCGTTTCCAGAGTTCTGCCGTTATGGCGTTGCAGGAAGCCAGCGAAGCGTATTTGGTAGGACTTTTCGAAGATACCAACTTGTGCGCTATTCACGCTAAACGTGTGACCATTATGCCAAAAGATATTCAATTAGCCCGTCGTATCCGAGGAGAGCGTGCTTAATATCGTGTCTTTTATATTATTACTAAAACGGCCCTTTTCAGGGCCACAAAATATAACAAAGGAAAAAAGTAATACCTCGAGTGATAATTATTTAAAAGTAATTAAATTTTTAAATTTTACATTTTTTTTTTTTTTTATATTTTTTCATATCTTTAAAAAGTATCCATTTATGCAGCAGAACTTTTTATGATTATTATGTCCCTATACACAATATTGCAAGGTTCATATTTACTCGAGGTCTTCAAACGATATCAAATATAAATACACGTTTAAACTTCTATTGTAGCGCCAATTAAACTACACATGATTATTGATTCAACTGTTAAAGTCGCAGTAAGAAAACCCTGGGACACTACTCATGTGACTTTATACAGGTATACACCGGGTAATTAATTTAAGTGGGTACACTCGTTATCTCGAAAAGTATTGACTTTTCCCGGAATTTGTTTTAAAGAACATTTCAGAAACAATCTGCTCTACAATATTTTACTTACGTCATTTTTTTTGTAGGTAAAACCATTATCCACTTTTGGTTGTTACATAAATTACATCGTTTACATCAATCACATCTTAATTTTCGGACCAATTTTGCCAGAATATTATAAATAACACTTTTTCGAGTTTAAAATTGAAATAACCGTGCAAATTTCGTAATATTGCGATACTATTTCTCATTTAAATTCGAATTTAATTTAAAAATTATTCAGAATATACCCCTAAGCGAACACAGAAATATATAGAAAAAAATAAGTTTTTTCGTTTGATATTACTCTTTTTCATAAAATCGACTTACAAATAGTACTTTTTCGAGTTTGACTTCAAAAGAACCGTGCAAATTTCGTTATCGTGCGATATTAAATTTTGTTTATAGTCGGATTTTATTTTAAATTATTCAAAATATACCCCATAAGCGAATATAGAAACATATAGAAGAAAATAAGATTTTCGTTTGAAATTACTCTTTTTCACAAAATCGACTTACAAATAGTACTTTTTCGAGTTTAAAATCGAAAAAACCGTGCAAATTTCGTAGTTTTGCGATAAAATGTTACTTTTATATTCGAATTTTATTTAAAATTATTCAAAAAATAACCTTAAGCGAAAACAGAAACATTTAGAAAAAATTATGCTCTTTCGTTTGATATTACTGTTTTGTATGTACTGTTTTGTATTGGTCGGCGCTGCCGTTCCAAATGTATAAATATCGGTCGGTTAGGCAACCGCGTTCATTCGTGCAAGTGACTTCCAACGTTTAGCAACTCAACTCTCCACTAACACAACCGACAGTATCATGACAGGACGTGGTAAAGGAGGCAAAGGACTCGGTAAAGGAGGAGCGAAGCGGCATCGTAAAGTGCTCCGGGACAACATCCAGGGAATTACAAAACCGGCAATTCGTCGNGTGAAACGTATTTCCGGCCTTATTTACGAAGAAACTCGTGGAGTACTGAAGGTATTCTTAGAGAACGTTATTCGAGATGCCGTCACCTACACCGAACACGCTAAGAGGAAGACCGTCACCGCCATGGACGTCGTCTACGCTCTTAAACGGCAGGGCCGCACTTTGTACGGTTTCGGAGGTTAAACGTCCCTAAACTCTGCGATACACATCTAAAAAAAAGTCTACTGCGTGGTCTCGTCAAATTAGTTTAAGATTTAAAACGGTCCTTTTCAGGGCCACCATATACTTGCACACTTTATAAATTCATAACATCGTAATTTTTAATGATATCAGTCTGTTGATAAGCTGTCGACTAAGACCAACGGAAACTAAGTGATCGCTCCGGAAAAACGGTTTACGGTGCATATTCGGTAAAGAAAATTGGATAAATTTATAGTTAAGGGTTGTTCGTTATTTAGTAGGTTTTCCGTCAAATCGAAAATTAAACTAAACTTTTAGATCGATTACCCGAAATGTTATCACGAAAATGGTCTACACAAACACAACGGACCGACAACTTTGCGTTGCGCACGTTTACTAGTCGGTAAGTCAAATTGTTTAAATATATACAAGCACTCCGAACGTTATCCGGCATACCAACGCTACATTTCATTATCATTTGATTTTTCTTACGTTCTCTCTTTCTCGACCTTAAAAACCATTCCATGTTTTATAACTAGACAACAAAAAATCTTTAAATAACATTTAATAGCTTTTTCGTTATAGATACTAAGAATCTAAAGTATATCATTTTTATATTAAAATAAAAATTCATCATCGAATATTGTTAAACAAAATGCTAAACTCTCATGATGTTTTAACTTCAAACATTTTATCAAACGATTCCAATTTTTAAACTGATTATTGAAAATCTATTTTTTAAACTCAAAATTTTACTATCAAGTGTGTATGCATTTATTTTTATTGGCAGTATTAAATAAGCCTTAGATAATTATATCTTGTAGATTTTTGAAAAAAAAAAAAGGGTAACAAGAACACCTTTTCTTGTATACTCATTTTACAAGGGAAGCTGTAAGAAATATTTTATTATATCAATTATATAATAATTATATTATATATAATTATATAATATTCAATGATTAGATTAAAAAATTAGTATGACAAGGGACATCCTAGTCTCACCCCTCTCCTTATACTTGCTTCTTTTATTGATACATTTACATCTATTTCTGTTGTTTGATCCTAATATAAGTTGAAAATGAACCGTTTATCTTTCCAGTCGATTCCTTTTTCTCTTAATATCTTGAATAAAAACTTCTAATCTACGTTATCTAAAGCCCTCTCTAGATCTATGAATGTTGCTATTCTTTGTAATTCTTCTCTATCTCTGATCGTGACATGCGCTGTATTAATAATTTGTCTGATGTTGATTTATTTTTCAATTCTTAACCATCTATGCTCAGTTCATTGTATCTTTAATTATTGTATTATTTATCTTTTATAGTTATTGCTTATTCTGTATTCCCAGCCCTTGGGACGTTGATAATAATATTTGAAAAAAAAATATATCTAAACATATTTGACAGTACTAAATTTAAATTAAATAACTTTATATTTGTCTAACTTCCTACAACCGTTTGGACGCCGGCTCCTACAATGGTAGTGGTTGGCCGTGGCGACTCTGATCGTGAGGAAAGGAAAATGTTACCTACACGGAATGGATAAAAAAAAATAATGAACACCGAATTTAATGAGTATACATAGATAGTATAGATATTATATATGTACTGCACACTTGTTCAAATCAATATTGTGAGCGCTTGATAACGAAAAGTATAAAATTAAAAAAAAAAAAATTTAACAATTAGCGATTGGTATTTTATCAAACGACCACGAATATTTATGTGTATATTTGTATATATGTATACAGANCGCTGATGACTACTCGGGCGGTGACGGCTGACCGGAACAACCGGACAGCGGACACCAACGTGTTTTCCGATATTAGTGGGTGGACGCGAACGACGAAAATTCGTAGGTACGCGAGTCGCGAGTGCGCCCGTCAAAACCATCAAATAAAAAATACACATCGGGCCGGTGACGAAAAAAATTGTAGCGCGACACTTTCCGTTCGACCGTTGCACATCGATTCGAAAATTATACAAAGGCACGCGGGGATGAAAAATGGACCGGTGCACCGCGATAAAGGTAATCTCGGCGACGACAGCACGAATTTTGCGCGTTGCATAATATTTGCATAATTGCGTAATCGGCCAATATTTTTATTTTGTCAAAACAATGATTTTAAATATTCTTCTTATGCTATTTATATATATGTGTACATAAATATTTTTAGATTTGTTGCATAGTGAGCGACGGAACTCACTCACCACGCAACGCACTATTGGTTTTTCTGTGATGTGCTTCCTTTTTTTTTTTATATATTTTTAAACATCTTTTCTACCAGAAAAGGTTGCTAGTAGTAAAGTTTCTGACAGAAATTGTGTCTAGTTGATGCATTAGAGATGTTAATTTTTGATTTATTCAAGGGATTTTTGAAATAATGTGGAAAACTCGATTTCATTGTTTTTAATTTTTATTCACAATGATTTCTACCAGAAGTATTGCTCAAATCGAAAAATAAAGAGATAAATTCTGTTTTTAATATTAATGATTTAATAAAATAATGATTTTGTTATTAATATAATATAGCAATTACTGAAGAAAGTCGCTTTATAATATCTAAAGTATTTTTCACAATAATTGGGAAAACCCAAAAAAGACTAAAATTCTGATTTTTTTCAAATTACAACAAAACAATTTCATTGTATATTTTTACGGCCTAATGTTTTCTACCATAAATATTGCTGATAGAAAAATGATGCAAGGCCTCTTTTGTTGCATATCTAATTTAGTTTGTAAATAGTTTGTTTTATAATTTTCTTGGTATTTTTTTTTTAATTATTGAGAAAAACCAGAAAATGACAAAAAATGAAGACTGATAATTGTAAGTCATTGTCACAAATCCAATAAATTGTTATAATGAATAAATAATAACTTTTAAAATTAATACCATGTGTTATCATGATTTATATGATTAATGATATTACTAATTATAATAAAATATTTCAAATCCAAATTGTCTAATATCATTTTATACATTACATTTACACCAATTAACATATATTTATAATATTATAGTTTCCCTTCTATTTGTTATATTACACAATTCTTTTTCCAATAACTATTTTACAAAAATCAAGTGGTGTAAATTTAAAAAAAAAATTATACAATGTATAAAATAACGATTTTCATTACATGAAATTTATACAATTTGTGTCTATATTCATCTATTGCATGAACATTAAAACAACTTAAATTCTGGTAGACATTGATGAAAACTCAATTACTTAATATGGATGTGACATATTGGATTGGATTACATTGCTACGAGAAAACAATGATTTTTTTGGTTGTTGTTTAAAATTATTTATTTTTACTTTTGTTTTAGTTCAAACGATAATAATTTTGTTATGACATAATATGTCAAAATGTATAATACATAAATAAAAGGTAACAATAATTTTATCATCATGGTTTACAAAATAATACAAAATACAATTTGATGATAGATATGTACAAATTACAAAAACAAAATAAAAAGTAATAAGTTTCATAAAACTTAAATAAAAATAAAATATTAATCAATAATATATAAAAATAACAGTAAACTAACACATCCTAACATAAAATAACTAAGAGATTAAAGACATAAAAAAAAATTTTGTTACACAATTAGATCATTAACTATGGATCCATAAGCCATCATGCTATGAAATTGTGCTATTATATATCTATATGTCAAATTATACACTATCACTGCACACATACATTTTTAAATTAAATTATGATTTATATTTAAATTATTGATTGATAAACTACCAATTGTGTTTGCAAGATATTTCTGTCATGTATAAATATAATAGATATTTAATATAAATATCATATTTATTTATACATGCAGTTATAGTGTGTATTTGGTTTATAAGAGCACAATTTTGTAACACATAAGAGATAGACTGTGGTTCTATCCATAGTATATGAGCTAGGGTTACACATAACCAACATTTAAAAATTGTAAAAAGTTTTATAACCAACGTAAAAAAAAATTTAAAAATTATACAGTTTCTTCATGTAAAATAATCATTTTATTTTCACAGGATGAGGAACTATCATCCTGTTCTAAAATTATGGTATTCATATTATGATGTTTAGTTTCTAAACCCAATTCATCGACATCAACTTCTGATTCGTGTTTTAATACAACTCCATTACTGTCCTATAAAAATAAACAAATGATAATACTTTATTATAATATAACCAATTCATAACAAATGATAATTGTAAATAAATATCATTAGAACTGAAAGTAACTCATGAACACTTATTTAGCTTCACAACTTATTAATCAAAATCTTTAAACTGAATAAAATTGTCCTAACAATATAATACTATTTCTCACCATCAATTTTTGTTTAAGATGTGTTCTGACATGCTTTTGCAAATGGTCACTACGCATAAATCGTTTGGGACATTCATTACACTGAAACCTCTTCTCTCCCGTATGCGTTCGATTATGTCTCTATAATTGAAATATAATTAATTAATATGCACGTGTACGGTTTGTTGGATAATTAACTTAATAGTAAAATTGTATACCTGAAGTTCATCTGATCGAGTGAACCGTTTACCACAGTGTTGCCAATTACAAATGAAAGGCCGTTCTCCTGTGTGCCACCTGAGATGAGCACGCAAATGAGACGTTTTTCCGTACATTTTATTACAACCCGGCACATGACAAATATGCACCCTTTTACCAGCACCGTTACTATAAATAAAATTTTTAGATAATTATTAAAATAATGAAATGTATCATTGTTTTACCTAGTATACCAAATGGTAAAAATATTCAGATCTATAATATCCAAGGAAAAAATAATTCAGTTGGAATATATATCCGAAAAAAAAAATAAAAATATAAATGTATAATAAGTAATAAATAATTATGTTGTTATTCATATACATTTAAAGTAATTTTTGACAACTCAGTTACAAAACAAAATTATTTATATTTTATTACTAGGTATTATTTTACCTTTTTTTATTATTATTTTTCTATTAATATACTCACAGATAATGTTTTAATATTTTAACAATTTACTGGCGAATGTGATTTTTAAATATTGTATTATTAGCTTAATTGTAACTGAGCAGTAAAGAATTACTATGTACATGAATATCATATCTTATTGGAAGTGAATAAAATGAGCATTTATTAATTATACATTTATATTTTTTCCTCGGATATTATAGATCTAGAATTTTTTACCTAGATGTATACCAGATATATTTATATAAATATGAATAATACATTTTTACTTCAATTATTAATAAATAATTCAATAATTTATAATTATAAAAATAAATAATATTTTTTTCTATAAAAGTAAGAAAACAAAAAAATCTTTTAATCTATTTTATTTATATTATTTAAAAAAAAACCCAATCTATATATATATATATATATATATATATATATAGAGAGAGAGAGAGAGAGAGAAAGAGATAGAGAGAAATCAATATTTCAATATTTCAAAATAAGAAAAAACTTAATTGAAAATGCATGGTTTTGTTTAATTTTGTAATTTTAAATAATAAATTCCTACCGTTTTTCTCCATCACTACAATTGGGACATGTACAAGCCACTCTTCTTGTTCGTGGTTTTTCTTCACTTGGAGAATCATATTCAGTAACTGAACTTCCATCTTGGTACATTGGTGCAGTAATTGGAATAATTTGCCACTTTTGATCCATGTTTTCTATTTGCTGGCCGGATGCTAAAAAATCAATTTAAATTATTTACATAATTACTAATGATATACTACATGCTAACACATACCAGCATTAATGACTTGTATATTTTGGAGTCCGGGCGGTAATGTTTGAGTGGCATTATTAGATGTACCTTGTTGTCCTCCAAGAGAAGTAATGATTTGTACAGTTCCAATTCCTGGTATGTTCACAGTTTGTGGTTGGTTTGTGTTTTGGGCAGCCGGTAACTATTGATATATAAAAATTGATTAGCTATAATTAAAATGTATATTAAATATTATAATTATACTTGTACAACATTGTTCCCTCTAATTGTAACATTATTGTTGTTTTGTAAAAATTGAGGAAGGTTTGATGTTGGTATTACGGTCAGTTGTTGTTGGTTATCTAAACAATGAAAACATATGCAGTTAGAAATAAAATATTTAAAAAGAAAAATTATTTATTAATTAAAAAGACTCTTACTTCCAAGAGACATTTGTTGAGGTATAAGTTGTAAAGTTTGGCCCGTTGGAGTTTGAATGGTGACCGGCTGTGGTTGTGGACTATTTTCATTACTACTCGAAGAAGAATTTGGCGAAGAACTAGCCTGAATAAGATAATTTACATTAACTCATATCATAAAATTCTAAATACCAATTAACACAATAATTATGACTTACATGCATAACATTTGGCGAAGTAGCTGGTGTGGTCGCATTTGGGTATTGATTATTGGCACTGGATGTATTTACTATCTGTATTTGTTGGCCATTACCAATCGGCGATGCTAATTGAACTGTCTGTATTTGGCCATTACTATTGACTATCTGTGCCATTTGTGGTGATTGGGCCATTTGCATTAACTGAGGGATTTGCATTAATTGACCTTGATTAGCCTGTATAATGTTTGGTAATGACGAACCAAAAGATTGTATTGGCAAGTGCACTGTTTGGTATAATGTTTGGCCGTTAGAAGATATTGGCACTTGAACAGGAATGGTTTGCTGGACGGAAGGCAACTGTACTACTTGCGGCATGTTTGATTGACGCACAGAAATATTTTGTCCTAAATTATCAAAATGAATGACTTATAAAATAAAAACAAACATTTTAACAATAATGGTTTACACATCATACCAGATTGAAGCTGAATTGTCTGTAATGGTCGAACAATCTGCCCGGTTGGTGTAAAAATAGTTGGTGCCCCTTGACCAGGGTTAGTGTTTGTAGGAATGAATAGTGCTTCTTGACCGTCGACTGTTATTGTTTGATTATTTTGCTATCATAAGAAAATGATTATCAAATACAATATTATGATAAACATATATGGCAAAGTAATAAAATAAAATTACAATATTTAGGTAAGATTATAATACCTGAATAAATTGACCGGGCAAACCCTGAACAGAAAGTATTGGTTGTAATGTTGTCCCATTTGGTGATATAGTTTTGATGGCTTGATTTTGTTGACTCTGTTGTGTCAACTGTTGAACTTGCTGCAGAGGCAATAAGTTTTGTAAATTTGCCAGCGTAATGATGTGTGGTTGACCATTGTGCAATTGCACTATTGTCGGCTGTTGGTCTTGTTGTTGTTGTTGTTGTTGTTGTTGTTGTTGTTGTTGTTGTTGTTGTTGCTGCTGTTGTTGTTGTTGCTATAATAATAATAATAACGTTATAACATTGTGTTAAATTATCAAAATAAATTTAATTTTATATCCTCAATAACAAATACAATTTAATACGACAGTTATGGATATCTCCAGTGTAAATTGAGTTTATTATTTCAGCAATACAGAAATTTAGTCTCGAATTTGAAGGTTAATAATATTTAATATCTAGTTCCAGGCAATACATACAGAATAATAATTTGGTCATAAAAATATCCCGTGCAGTGTGTCTATTCCTAGCAAAACTAGGTACAATCAATTTTTCGTTTCACTTCTAATAGGTTTATTTTTAAGGAGCAGATGAAAGTCTTAAGTGAAACAGTACCTTCCCTACCTGGGTTTTGTAACAGTATCAAAAATCGAGGCTTAAAGCTGTTAATGTAAATGATGCTATTGTATGTGAATCACGAACATTCATTCATACATAGAAAATATAATAATTTCTCTAATAATTACCTACCATACCAATTATGTAAGTAGGTATATATACACACGAAAACAACAAATAAACCCACACACCAAAATCGAGGGTATTTTTTCCTTGGGATATGAATAGGGGGAGCGAGTCAAAATTACCATTACTGTATACAGGCGACGAGTCAAGAATATTCGGGGGGCTCGTAAAAAAATCCCGACGACTGAAATTTCAGCAGACTACCTCAACGACCACCACTGCGCCACGGACCGCAATTATTCCACCGTCACCACGGACAAACACCCTTGACCGGAGGAGCGCGCGGAGTGTACGACGACGTCCCGAACGCTTTTCGTTACGTCCTTAAACGTCGCCCCTCCGCCCATTTTCCCGGCTACGCGACGATATCGCGCCGTCGAAGAATGACTCCTCCCCCCCATTAATATCGCCCGTTCACCAACACACACACACACCTACCCGCGTGCTAGCTCCCCGCCAAATCCACCGCACCTAATGATAATAACAACAACATTACAATCATAATAACAATCCACGATTAGAACGCTAACGTGCAGTTTCCACGGGAAAATTGGGATTTTTCCGCCAAGGTCATGAGGGGGGGAGGGGAGGCAAGGCGGCAGCGGTCTGCAGACTACAACACGTCATCGTCGTTGCGTCTCACAAATCGACGCCCAGCGGCCCATACCTACGTTCGTAAGTTGACGCTCCGCTTACCTTTTCAATGTCGTTTTTTTCTTCGTCGTTATCGCTAATGGAATCTTTGATGACGTTGTCATCCTGGTGTTCGTCCGCCTCCATCGCCTCAAACCGTCCCGTTTCGTTGGTATTCCCGATACCCGACACGTGCAGTAATAATAATCAATATTATAATCTATATAATAATAATTATATAAAAAAAAAAAAAAAACACTAGAAGCTACTGTACTACGTTAAAAAGTAAAATTTTACGTTCACCATAGCAGACGTATCTAAAACAGATTAGGTGTTGTAAAAAAATAATAATACCAACGAACTTATCACGGTACACGGCACGTACGCAGCGAACGCGGTGTAAACAAAATGCACGGACTACGAACACGACGCGTACGCAATGCGAAAAATAATATTCCGATAGGTGTAATAATTAAATGCGGAAAAAAAATAATAACAACAACAACAACTTCAAAATATCGCGAGGAACGTTATGAGGCGGCGTCGAAACTCGAAAGCGGAGCCAGATATCGCGGACCAAGCCCAAATGTCCCCGATTGGCAGTAGGCCTCGCTCGCCCTACCCTACCGTCCGGGACAGTAGACACAAAAGGCGGCCGCTACGATAATAGAACTTTACGGTATTTATCGTGCGCCGTCCGCAGTGTTGCATCGGCCGTCGGACCTCGGACTTCCCGAGTAAATCTCCGAACGAGTTTTATTCGTAAACGTACTTGTTTTATACTGCTAACCGTACGCTGAATTTTCGTTCTCGTTTATATCGGACGTCCAAAACGCGATCATTAGTCTTATAACGAGTAAATACCGATCGGCACGTTGTACCACGCCTGAAATCCGAAAACCAAGTTGGTATCCCTGTTACCGTGCGTACGGACAAACGCACAACACACTCAGCTCGAGCGACGAAAACCGCAACCGCGTCCGGACATTGGTTCCCAATTTCGCGATCCAAAAATCCCACTGCGCGCGCCGTCACCGTCGGACAATGCAGGAGTTGCAGCCTGCTGTTTCAGCATTCGATTTCCGAAAACGCACCGCTAATAGGTTTTTAATTAATGAACCGTTTTACGACGAATTTGACGAGTTTTTTTTTTTTTTCTAATATATCGTTCAAACGATTTATCGCGTATTAAACATACTGTTTGAAACGAAAAAACATTTTCAAAAAAACAAAGTCGCCTCGTCTTATGAACAGTAAAAGCGCTAAAAAAAAGAAACCATTACTTCGTCGACCGTCCTGTACACTATCCGTACCTGCGAACCTGCGTAAAAAACTCAATAATATTCATGTTATTATCGATACAGCAATAATATTTTAACGGTAGCCGACAGCGGTTGGATGGTCAACATTTGAGAACCATTGGCCCGGTCACGGCTAAGTGCCGAGTTGGCAACAATACGGCGGCGGCAGCGACGTTCCTTTCTAAAAAAACCTTTTACTCGACTCGGCGGCGGCATTGGTTTCGGTGGGCGGGGGCGCGGAGGCGGTCAACGTCACGCGACGTACGCAGTGCACGCGGCCCCGCCGACGCCGGTCGTCGTCCCGCCGCCCGCCGTCACTGCCCTCGGGTGACCCACACCCACGGGTGTGTGCCCAACAGCCCGCCGACCACCCACCACCCCTTGCGCCAAGCACACTATGGGAGGGAATATTGTTCGCTAGGCGTGTTTCCCGGGAACCCGGCGCCGCGCGGTGTGCGGGCGCCAAGAACACAACACATTGCCGCCGACCGCGGCGGCGGCCGCTGCTTCGGAGTTCCGGTGCTACGGGCCGTCGACGCGATGTTATTCGGCCACCTGGCGCCCGTGACGCGGCCGCGTGTGTCCCTTGAGAGGGAAGGGGGGCGTTTCGGCGCGTCTGATTCTCGTCGTTCGTGTATTGTGACGGAAAAAATGAAAACAAACCCAACTGTCAAGATTGACAGTGTCGATACCCATCCGCACACATAGTACCTTCGGCGACATGGTCATTTATTACATTTTATCCGTTACAGTAGCATGTATAGTTCGGGTCCGGGTCAAAGCATGTATAATGTTGACGAAAAAATAAATAAAAATACCAGTAGGTGTTCCAAACGAACGAATCGAAAAATCCTAAAAAATTGTCGGGAATAATTTCATCAAATGTCGGATTTCGACGTCATTCCCGGATCAGCGGAAGTCGCACACGTACGCGACGAATGTCGGTTCCCGAGAAATATTTCCCGACGCGACGTAGCGATCGCGTCCCGATCCGGTACGACAAAATCAACAGACTCCGTGCGATTCATATAATTTATGACGTACACTATAATGTTTCATTTCGACCGAGTACGGTTTACTCACCGACGAGTCGGTTTTCCGGAGTTTGGTTATAATAATGAATAGTAAAATAATAATAAATACGGTTCAGATAAAAAAGGGAGCAAAAAAAAAAAAACCGTTTCAAACAATACACGTTTCCGAACAGAAATATTTTTAATAAAAATTATATTTTATCGGTTTACCGATCGGCCGTGCCTGTGGCTAGGTAGGTACAATATTATTGTAAAGAGGCCCGGCGCGGGTAGTGAGTTGACGACACGCCGTCCTCCGTTGGAACGCGCGTCAACAAAAACCGAAATGTGTGTTTTCGTCAATACGTAGAGTGGGCATAATAATTCCCGATTGGATTACAGGTTAGATTTACGCGTGTAAAACACAAACTCTCTACGTACAATCATGGATATGAACTCTAGTCATGATACCGTTTCAAAGTCGTTTTCTCATCGCATCAGATTAGATTAAAACCGAACTAGAATAGATATAAAAAAAAAAATAAATAAAAATTACCAGATAAAAAACAATCCGAATCCAATTAATAGGCACCCATTAGAACATTGTTATTAAATTTCGTTACGGAGATTATAACAATATTGTACCTACTTGCGTATCGTAATAATTAAAAATGAATCGTTTATCATGTTTACACGCTTACACTATAATATTATATTGCTGCGAGTAGGTATATTAATTATTATATCCTCCGTTGAGCATACTGCAATTAAATATTATAAAAAAATATTAACAAAACATTACGGTTCACCGCAACAAACGAAAATTATAAAATATAAATTACATAATATGTACTACGCATACCTATACATAATTCGTCAACGCACATGTTTGAAAAACTGAAATAATATGTATTCGTGTCAACTGTCATATTATATAAACAAAAAAAAATAATAATTTTGAGAATATTGACGTGATAAATTATTTTGTGCGATCCCTGGCTAAAGTGACAAAACCGAATTGCGGACTTTAATAATCGTTCACAATTTTTTTTTAAATTTTTTTTTTGTACATTTCTCCCGTGGCTTTAAATTAAGTTAGTATATATGTGTCTAAAGTATTGTTTTATGTATCACGACCATAATAGATTGTGCAAAGACCTGAAATATAAATTGTTGGTCCCGACGATGAACACGGTTTGGCTTCGTTCAACATTATATATTTTTCAATACAAGCGAATTAAATTTTCAAAATAAACTAAACGGCATTATCTAAAATGGATTGTGTCATAAATATCCGGATCTTTAATAAGTGCTTTCAAATATATACTCCCAGGTACTTTGGTTGATTTTGAACGATCATTCATAATACGAAACATATTATATGATCATTGACACCAATTTTTCATCAATCAGTTCGATTGACGTATTCAAACAATAAGAATTTGGACAATGGACACGAGTTTAGCGCAAAAGTACGTCATGAAATAGGTTAGGTAGGTTAGGGGGAGTCACCCCGACATTTTTAAAGTTGGTATATATTTATAATATAACAAATACTAACATCAAGTTCATATATTAAAAATATTTCCCCCCCCCCTCCCCGGGAACTTGATCCTGAATACGATGCTTGGTGACGATGGTGGGTTAGGTCATGAGTTTTACAAAACATATTATTTTCTACTTGTTAGTCCAAACTCGATAATATTCCTAGGATTAAGTTAGTGTCCTAAGTGTAAACCTAAAACTGTAGGTCATTGTCAATGAAAAACTGCATGTGTTTACGTATACTGTTTGTGTCGAACTATAATAGAATCTGTAAATACGCAGCCCAGGTGTACACAATATAGGTGTCATCATAATAATATTGGCATATTACACACAGAAAAAATTGTTACATGTCACCCTTGTTATAATATTTGAATAAGCAATATTCGAAAAAAAAAAGATCAAATACTGGGGATAGGAGAGGTTACTGTTGTAGGTGAGAATTTGGGAAGTTAGGATACATAAGTTTATTTCATTTATATCTGTAAGTAACGATAAACCATTACTTAACGAAAGACGATTCCGAGCGCAGTTTGGTAATTCATAATTTGAAGTGTTGTACATTTTTTGCGATTTTCGTTTAAATTTTGATTTCAAAAAGATTATTAAAAAAAAAGTCGTCCAATGATTTTAAAAATTTTACCACCTCTAGGTAAGTCCAATAAATGTATTATTTTCAAGTTTCAAGTCTCTACGTGTATTTATAATCGAATTACAGCAAAAAACTCCCAAAAATTAAAATTCCTTAAAAGCTCAAAAGTGGCTCAACAATTTTGACGATGATACCAATAGAAAGTAAATCAAAAAGGCAACAAAAAAAGTTTCTTGTGATTTTTCGATTAAATCATTTTTTCTGGTAGAAAACTTCCGTGTTTGTATAAAATAATGAAATCGTGAAATTGTACTTTTTCCTACGTTTTTTTTTCACTTAAATGCTTTTATATAAAAAATGGCATCAAAAGTCAAAAAATATTCTGTTTAAAGTACAATCTAGACAATTTGAGCTTTTAGAAAAGGTGCTACACGTAAATATCGGAGCAAGTTTACTGGGAAAACACGTGTCCACAGGCTAGCAGAAAGAAAAATGAAAAAAATAAACATCTTAGTAAAACAGATAGCCCCTCGCTCGGAATATATAAAATCACTTTAGTAAAATCATAAACATAGTGCCTAATTGTTTTATTTTCGAGTCATTCATCACACGAGCCGAATGTACAAAACTAGATATAATCGCTTTAATTATACACACGTAAAAAGATTATAGTTCTGCAGATTTGTTTAATAATTATGATTTAGATCTTATACGAATCCAATTATTATTGTATAATATTCAAATTACATTATTATAAGTACTTGAACTATAACCAATAAATTTAATAAAATATTACCGAAATATATTCGTATGTAAACATTTTTTTTTTTTTTTTAAATTTTTGATCAGACTATACTCGGACTAAAAACATCAAAACTATTAAAAAAAATAGTTGTTATTTATTATAAGTTAACAATACAAAAATGTTGATTTTTTTTTTCAAAAAATTTGCAGGCGATAAAATCGAAAACTGCATAAAACAGTGCTCGCTGAAATTAAAAATCCATCCATAATTCAGAGTTCCGCCACGAAATTATGGTTGTATTGAAACGTTTTCGGGAGTGAAAATCTGAGATTCCAACATTTAAAATTAGGACAAATCTGAATCGCGTTAATCTGAACCCAACAGAAATAGACCGTATAGATATCTGGACTTTCAAAGTTTGAAATCGCAGTTAAGAAAACTCAACGTGTTAATATACCGTGTACCAATATACCATTATCTCGGAAAGTATTTGTTTTCCGGAATTTATTTTCTAGAATATTTAAGAAATAAGCTGCTCTACAATTGTATGTTTATGTTATTTTTTGTCATTCTTATTTTTGGGGGTAAAACCACTGCCTACTTTTGATTTTCAAATAGCAACCTATATTAAAAAGTCCATAAATAGATGGAGTATTAATTAAAACAAATTTTAGCGTTGACATTTTTGATTTCCGTCGATCCGTTGACGAGTTATTCCACTTTTAAGTTTAGGGCGGAGGAGAGTGGTGGAGTATCATTTGTGTGGCAGTACGACGCGCAGCGTGTTAATAATGCACCACCACTCTCCTCCGCCCTAAACTTAAAAGTGGAATAACTCGTCAACGGATCGACGGAAATCAAAAATGCCAACGCTAAAATTTGTTTTAATTAATACTCCATCTATTTATGGACTTTTTAATATAGGTTGCTATTTGAAAATCAAAAGTAGGCAGTGGTTTTACCATATAATTGTAGAGTAGCTTATTGCTTAAAAATTCTAGAAAACAAATTCCGGAAATTGTTAATACCTTCGAGATAATGAGTGTACCCACTTAAATAAATCACCGGTACATAAATATTAATTGTTGTATTTAATGTACAGTTATATATATATATCACGGTTGCGTATTCCGAATACATGATTATGTTAACAGCTATTTATAATGCTGATTTATTACATTCTTTAAGTAATCATTATTATTACAACCTATTCGCAGATTTCACGACGCCCCCAACGACGTATAAGGGGCGGAGTTATACATTATAGGTAGGTACCTATAGGTATTCACGCAATAAAATATCAATAATTCAAATCGAAATTCGCACTACGGGTTATTAGTGGCTTTTAAGGAGAGGATTTTTGACATTTTATATAAGTGTACTCACATGACTGAAATTGAAAACAAATGTCTCAACGGTGAGGCTTCGAAATTTGTTTAGTTTACTATTCACTCGTATTTTGTACGTTCATACGTATATCACTCTCCCCCAGTTATATAGCCCTGAATACCTATATAATTAAATTAAACGTTTTTCAAACAAAAAGTCCTGCAGATGCAGTAGCCACGCCCCTCCCCCACCTCAATCAAATCCACACCACTGTGTAAGTTATTAAATAATATTATATTACTTAAAAAAGAAAACGATATCGCAAAATATTTAGCATTGATTTGTAATTCCCATTTGCAAATAACTAATAGTTTAAAAATACAACAAAATTGCTATTCTCTGTTCATCAGTTTTTTTAAACTTTGACCGATGTGAGGAATGTATTTGTTATTATGAAGAGTTTTATTTTTGTGTACAAACGACTCAGAAATCTTATTCTAATCATCAAGTGTAGCGTCTTTCTCGAATCAAATTTTGTCTATAGTTGGTACATTAAAAAAGTAATTTATTTTCATTTTCTCAGTAATTTTCTTATTATTCAAAAAGAAACGTAAGGAAAACGAAAATATTTTCAGCTATTCAGTTAGAAATCAATCGTAGACATTTTTTTTGAATACTTGTACCTATTAGTTATTTCTTCAGACAGAATAACATTTTCAATGTATTCCAGCGATTTTTTGAGCTATTTATAAACATTTTAAATTTTAAATTTAAAAAAAAACATGATTTTGAAATTGCAAATCCCAAGGGTTTTCGAATTACATAATTGGGAAAAACCGGAAACAAAATTATAAGAAAAACCGCAAATATTTACGGCCCACCGTAAAGCGTATACTGTACAGCGTTCACCGATGTCATTATTTTAAACTTGTACGCACGATGTTTTCTACCAGAAATATTTCTTTAACCAAAATATGCCAAGTGACATTTTTTGTTGCATTGTGGATCCAGTTACTGTGGAAGTAAATCATTTTTTTTTTTTGTTTTTTTTAATAATTGAGTAAAATCGAAGAAAAACTTAAAAAATACGGCAAAATTTACGAAAATAATGCTTTTATTAATTTCAATTTTTTTTTTTTTCTTTATTTTGTTACAATTCAATTAAAAATATTCACTGACTTGAAATTTAGAATGAAAACTTATACTTGCTTTTTTTAGACGTAGTCAAATTTTCAAAACACTAGAGCTATTTTTAGACATTTTAATTTTGTGAGTTTTTTACGTAATTTTTATTCGGTAGGGACTCACGGGTTAAAATAATTAGATCAAACAGACATGCTTTCTACAATTTACGAATTACGTGAAGTATCAAAATGTATTTAATAACGCTTATGATATCTCACTTAAAAATTAAAACACCATAAACCGATGATGTGGTCATAATATGACGTGTAAACACAGATATTGATTAATATTATTATAGTAAATAAATGTATAAATAAACAATTTACGTATGAAAATAAAAAAATTAATAAATGAATAAATGCGTCGCCTGGAATATTATACGACCGGTTTCGAATTAAAAATTTATCATCAGGTATACCACAGTCAAAATGTAAACTGTTACTTACGGTAATTCGGGCTTGGGTGGGGGCCGTGGCCTCTAATCCCCTCCTGGAGCCACCCTTGATAGAGGTACGAATTTAGGGGACGTAGAAAGGCATTGGCCCCAACCGTCATATTTTAAGAAGGCATCATAATATTTTAAGACGTGATACAATGACAATGTTTTATTTTTTTTTTATCAACCCCACCGCATAGTTTACACTCATTCAACAGGGCCTAAAATAACGTGCTTCAATGCATAAAGTGTATAGTATGCATGTCGAAATTCCAGTGTATTATAAAAAAAATGTGTTCTTATGAAAGAGCGCTAAAAATATAAATATGTATGTTTCAGGGTAGTCTGGGTAATCTCGGTACATAATAATGTTATGATTTCAAAAATCATAAAATTATTTTTAGCAGAAATGCGCATTGTACCCACAAATGGTATAGTATATTATATTGTATATATATATAGGTGTACCATATATTATTATACCAATTATACTGCAGATATTTTCATTTTTTGTATTTTTAAAAAAAAAAAAAAAAATATTATGTTTTATGTTATAAAATAATTATTATTAAAAATTGATTTATTGTTAACCTAACCTTACATACGTCGTACATTTTCCTGTTTTTCCTCCGTATTTTCGGTTTTTCACATTTGATGAGAAATCTCCTGAGGAAATCGAAAAATGACCTCCTCAAAGTACCTTCCAAATTCGATTTCCTTTCAGAAAAAATGCTATCATTGTAAATCGGGGCAAGATTTGTGGAATCTAAGTGTAAGAAAATATCGGCATTGACCACAATTAAAAAATCAGAATTTGAACGTACGCGAAATGTAACGATACAAATGGGTCGAGCGTGCTTAATGAATACTCTGTATAATAGTAGGCAGATATTACATAGATAGGTATACGTTGCATAATGCATTATTATTAATTACTGTACCTAAATTGCGAGTCTACGATAAAGGGAATGTAAAAAACCCAGTGTTCGCGGGAAAACGAGCAGCGGCCCCCGCTTGGACACTTCGAGATCCACGGGTCGTAAACATAAACGCGGGAAATTCTCAATGTCCACGCAAAAACCCGGGGCGTAGTTAAAATATAAATTTGATATTTGAGTTCAATTACCGGGCGCGTTTTATATAGGCGTAACGCGTACGCAACGATGACCGTCGGCCGGCAATACGATTGCGCGGGTATACCTATTGCACCGGACACCGGTGAGTGGGGGCGTCGCGTAAAATTTTGTGCGGGCGCGTATTATTCGCTCGACAGCCCACTGCAACGGCGGCAGTCCGATAGGTATTACACGTCCGTCGGCGCGGCGTGGCACCCACAGCCGTGAGATATGGCAACGGACAGCGTTTGAAAACGTCAAAACGGTTATTGTCGCGGCGCACAACGGCAATAACTACCGTACGTTCGGCCGCGGCGGCGAAATTTTCAGTGCCGACGGAGCGATATTTCAGATTCGGAGTGTTGCCGGGGATCTATCGCGACTACAGTTTATTTTTCCTGTCTGTGAACAACATTTCTATACCAGAAATCATGCTCCGATGTATCGAGTGTAGCAACTTTTCCGAAAGTAAATTGTTTCTAGTCGGAGCATTAGACAGATCATTTTTTTGATTTTTCAAGGGGTTTTCATAATTATTGGGAACAACCGGATAGAAAAATGTATAGGTGAAACGGCACATATTTAATGCACGCCACGACGACATTACCGATTTCATTGTTTATAATTATTGCAAACTATGTTTTCTACCAGAAATATTGCTCAAATATAAAAACGACAAGAGAACATTGTAGTTGCATTTTTAATCTATTTGGTAAGTAAAAATTCGTTTTTTGATTTTCCAAATAGTTTTTTTTAATTTTGAGCTAAACCTAAAACAAAAACAAATATAGAAAGAACTGGATTTTGTTTTTTTATGGTAATTCAGTTAAAAATATTAGTACTTGAAATTTAAACAAGCTATTAATAGATATCTTAATTTTTCGAGATTTGTACGTAATTTTTATTCGGTAGGTACTCTGTAAATAAAATCGTTTGACTAAACAGAACTGCTTGATAATTTGACAAGAAATTCATTATAAGTCGTACTCAGTGGTCAAGAAATGTAGTATTTTTTTTTTTTATATAAGAATTTAAAATTTTAAAATCATATTTCGACGAAAATCGTAAATATTACGACCATCCAAAACACGTATAACTGAAATTCACTTTGAATGGTTTATCGTTGCTTAAAGGTATAAATTAAATAACTTTAATATTTATATATTCTACCTTCCTGATTTTTCACCTACAATAGTAATACACCCGTCTCCAGCATCAGCTCTTTTTATTATTATTATTTTATTTAATATAGTATAATTTTTGTTTTTGTGTATATAATAATAGTTATAGATAGTTATTAAAAAAAAGATGTAAAATATGATTGTCCGTAGGTACTTTCGATAATATGAGTGAGAATGTTTAAAGATAACTGAAAACTGTGATGTTATACCTCTAAAATTGATTTCAAAAGTGCACCTCAACGCTGAATTTCCGAAATATAATCTCTAAATGGTGACAGACGCTGAATTTTCGGTATTTTCTGGACGATAATCGAATTATTTTTTTGTTGATTTGTGAGTAACCTTGGTGATGACACAGCAATGTCACCGAATAATAATACCTGTAGACAAGCGTACAATGTGTCCATAGATTTATACGGAGAGACACGGATGAAATAAAAAGGGTGAGAGGGGTGTCTCGAATGTCTTTTGTCGATTTCAGTTTTCGAAACGATTTTTTTTTTTTTTAAAGGAGGAATTACGTTTATCCGGAACCCATATCTCGTAAATCGCGTTGCTACGTACCTATGGCGATGGTGTAAACACGAAATACCTCTAAACACCGCGGTCGCCAATCTTTACCGATATTTTCACGTCGCAAACTACGCGCGCGTGTGCGATGACCGTCCCCGAACACTGCTGTCGCGCTGCGGCGTGGCGTACAATTTCGTGCGCGTACATTTTCCTTTCGGTACAGGGCACCGCGATCGGCCGCGAAGACGACGACGGGCTGTTCGATTGGTCGGGCGGAGATGGCGATGATATCGACTTGGACGACGACGGTGAGGACGACGACGAACTCTCGCCGGTCCGAGTAGACGAGATGTCGGCCGGAAAAATGATTTCGTTTTTCGCCAAGTTAAATTCGCTGCGGCAAAAACGCCTTGTAGACCGGCGAAAGACCGCGGCACCCTTCGGGATCGCACGTGGCCGCCCCTCGCCGGCGCATCCGGAAGGCGATCGGCCGGTGGTTGCTGCAGCGGACCGCACTCTGTCTGTAGCAGCAGAAACGCCGCTATCTTTACCGGACCGGGAAACTATCCGGAAGGGTAATGGCATAATTCAACTCCACGCCTTTCCCAACCCCACCGCTGTTAGTCTTTATACGCTATAATTAGGGACTATTAGTTCTGAAAATGATTTTGTGAGTCCTAAAAACGTGCGTCTGAATCGAAGGCTAAAAATATTCATACTGCAGTAGTGGATTCAATACACGAATCCGGATTTTTAAATATCTAAATGGTGACTCACGCGTGATTTTTGTTATTTTTATCGTAATACGAAAATCTAATTTTTTTTTTCCAGTTGATTTTCGGTTATTTAGGTAATACGGACGGATACGAATAAATCCAGTCATTATCGGGTTAATTCTAGGTTATCACGTGCAAGAGCCAAAGAAGTACTATTTTTAAAAGATAAATTATCTGCAGGCAATAACGGATAACTGTGATATAGGAACGGAAGTGGAAATGGGAAGACACGTTAAATTGAGAAAAAAAAAACTGGGAATAAAATTTACTAGGAATAAATCAAATTATCCAAAATTCCAGTGTAAGCCTGAGTATACCCGTAATATATAGAAATGGATTATTGCGAAATGATTTCCGCCATCAGTGTTGTCACAATTACAAATAATATAATATCGATTATAAAAGCCCAGCCCGTGGGCTCTTCTACTTATTATTATGTTGTGATTGCAGTTGGATCGAGTGGCATTTTTCGCTTTATTAGAAAACAATAAGATACGATTTAAACATTTTTTTTTTTTTAGAAACCTTATAGAACCCGAATACAATTTATTACAATATTTTGTGTACTTAATATTATTGTACTGATCATAGAAGTGAACCGACAGACAGAAATCGATGAAGGCGGTTCGACAACTGCGGCCGGTAACCACGATGTAGGTTTCTGGATGAGGAACATGTCGAGGGAAGAAACGGTGACGGAAACGCTTGATGCTGGTTCGAGCCGAAAAAAACTGCGGCGCCACCGTGTGGCCGGATACTTAGACATGGGGTGGTACAGCGCGCGGTGCTTATGGACGCAGTACCTGAACGCGGTCGACGGACAGGAAGTGCTGGCGGTCCGGGAGAAAATCATGCGTTTCGCTACGTTTTGGACAGCGGTGGTCGGCGTCTCGATAGCGTTCTTGTGGTGCGCGTTCGGATGCTTCCACGAACTGTTCTGTATTGGCGTCATCGAGCCGCCGATCACCTACGCCAAGGACGTAAACAAGTACTTGACGATAGTACCGCCACACGTGGTGGTCACGAACAAAGGCAAAATGTTCCAGTACCGGCCGACGGCCGAGGAACGCTTCATATGGTCAAGCGCGAAAAAAATATCAAATTTTAAAATTTAATCGCGTTCGTCATGAGATTGTGGACGTGCGAGTGTTTTTGACAATTTCATTTTCGCATACCCATAATATACTATTGTATAGTCGCTAATAATAATTAACTATTTTGAAATTGGTACTATATTATGTAAAATATAAAAATTATATTAAAATATTTTCTGGTTAAATTTTTTTTTTTCAAATTATAAATAAATATAATAAAAAAATATATTGCAAGCCAAGCATTTTTATTCTTTGGTAGCGTTGATACGTTTGGCAGGGTCTTTTTGTACATATTTAAGTCACTATATTATTTTTATTTTCCATTCTAAATCCCGTCTCCCCGCCATTTTTTTTCTGTGGGCAACTTTTCTACCAGCAATTTTGCTCTGATTTATAGTGATAGCACTTTTTCTGAAAGTAAATCTGACTGGAGAGGTACTTTAAAGAAGTTATTTTTTGATTTTCCCAAGCATTTTCCCAATAAATAGGAAAAAAACGAGAAAATTGTACGAAATGTAGTTATTATATTAAAAATTATATTACAGCTTTTTCTTTTCTTGTGAACAATTTTTTTAATACCAATTTCGTTCCGATTTATAATAATAGCACTTTTTCTGAAAGGAAATTTTACTTTAAAAAGGTCATATATTGATTTTTCCAGGAGTTTTCTCAATAAATGGGAGAAATCGGAAAAAAACATAGGAGAACCGGGAAAAACGGTAAAATAATAATTATATTAAACAAATATTATTATAAAAAGTATACAATGCATATGTAATTAATTTATTATAATATTATGACATACATATTGTTGACAAAGTAACATTATCAACCGAACTCCGTTTAGAATCGTTTTCTCACTAGTACCGGTTTATTGTTGCTTAAAGTCTACAGATATACATTAAATTTCCCATCTACTACCTTCCCAACTTCTCACCTATAACAGTGGCTGCACCCGTCCCCAATAGCCTAGGGCAGCTTTCAAGTACTAAGTTTACATTCTATAAATGGTATAGTTTATATTAATTTTTAATCTGCTTGTAGGGTGCTTGAAGATGATGGGCATTATGATAATACATTACAAGAAGTATTATTTTCAAACATGTCGTGTAAGATAAGATTATGTAAATGCATTGTCAGCTAACTGACCCATTCAAATGATGATCGAATTATACAAATCGTTTAGCTGATGATATAGATCAAGATGCTAAATTTAATAATTTAATTTAGAACAAAACTTTAATTCTAATAGAAAACAAATTGATAGCTTTGATTGGAAAAGATCTTAAACATTATAAAATATCAAGTCCTCACCGAAGTCCAACTGACATAGCAAATTTAAATAGTTTTATATATTAAGAAAAAGAACTTGAAAATGAAAATGTGTCAATAATTTAAAATCATATAAATGCACAATGGATAATTATAAAAATTGTTGATCACTAATTAGTGAACGATCAGACAAGGCTCATCCAGTATTTGTAATTTGTAAGCAATGTATTGATCCAAAAATTAAAAAAATAAAAGACATATTTTGATATATTATACGAAAATATGAAAGATATAATTTCTTATCATATGAAGAACAATCGCTTACACAATTTACACATGTTTTGTTCTTGTCCTTGTCTAAACATATTCAATCACCCGCAGAACAATGCAAATCATCAAATTTCAATGTTTCAGATTTTTCGTCGGTACAAGCTGATGTTTGACAAAAAAAAAAATATTACTTTTAGTATACTAGCATCCCAGTTCACCTGCTTCACAAGTTATGATATCTGAATCGCGATCGTATTTTTTTGTTCCAATTGGTAAAGACATGGACAGTAAAATAAAATACATGAAACCAATTAATTGAAATTCATTGTAAAATTCGCAACTTGAAAAATAATAATATTACTAAATTGATCGGCTATTTCGGTTATTTGTAGACGAAACGAGTGTAAACGCAGTCAAATGGTTTTTGTTCTATGTGGTGGATGTTTGAAAATATAGTCGAACGTTGATATTCGTCAGGCGTTGATACTGCAACAACGCACTGTATATACTGGATATATAATAATTTTGTCACGCAGATTTATATTTATGATCCGTACACAAATCGGGTAAAATTAATAGGTAATTTTAATTTAAATAAAAGAAACATGATATTCAAGTGCGTTTTCAAACCATTTAAATAATTACGATTATATTTTGATAAATTGTTAATGACGAATCAAAATCGTTTATTTATACTATGATTGAAATGCCAAATATTTTACTCGGAAAACGTCAACTATGGACTTTCAAACGAATAATTTAGTGTTTTAGATTCTGAGGGAAGCATCAAAGCGAGAAATGTATTGATTTTAATTTACTATGGTTCGTGCAATTTTATTTTATGTATATCAAATCTTTCACCAGAAATCTTGCTCAAATCATAAAATGATAAGACACATTTTGTATTGCATTTTGGTTGAAGTGCGTGTACTGAGAAATAATAATTATAAGTTATTATGAGTTAATTTAGTATTGTGATGGACAAATAAATGCCTTTGAAAAAAAAAATTATCGGGCAACAACGGTTAACTGTGATAGGTAAAAGTGGAAACGGAGAGTCATATTTTTATTTATGTTATTTCTTTCGTTTAATACTTTGAACGAGTAAAGTCGTATGAAACAGCTAATAATAAATAAATAACTAACTAAAAAAAAAAAATTGTTTTTAATTTGTGTAATGCAACCTCTGTGATGTGTGGATATCTATGGTAAAAGCTTATTGATAAAGGTATTAATAAGGTGTAAACACTTGGCTTATCAGTTGATTGAAAACATTACTGCAGTTAAAATTGCCGCTAGATTAGCTGCTTATCCGTTAGGAGATCAGAAATATTATTTGTATGAATTTTAATGATAATATACTAATATGGCTAAAATTATGGAAGTTTTTTACTTTTTTTGTTATAAAAGTGCATTTAAAATGATACAACTAAAAATAGGATTATGTTATATTTATTAATACATATCAATACATAATATAATAGTATAAAATAAATATTTATGATACTATTCATGAATAATATAATATAGATACCTACCTAGTATGTGTCAATAGGTGTAACTATTGCTTGAAAAATTTGATATGTTTATTATTGTAGAAGGTAATACCTACTCGTAATTATTTTTGGTCTGACACTTGGTTATTATATTTTCTACTGGCAAAAATCAAGACCCAATTTGTTAACCTTAGTGAAGGACACTTATTCACACCGACAGATACACTAATAAAACTTGTTTATAACTTGGAAACAGTCATTATCAATGTTCTAAATAATAATCAAATAAATACAAATATTTCAGAATATGGTTAGTAATTAATTACTTTCTTAAACCATTTGGGGCACATATTGTTTTTGAAAAATGTTTTCTTGGAAAATATTAAAATTTAGCACTCATATAACATAAAAGACGTCCTATGACAATGGGGACGGGTGCAGCCATTGTTATAGATAGTTTAATGTATACCTGTGAGCAATGATCAACCATCGCTAACGAAAACACGATTCCGAGAGAAGTTCAATTGATAGTGATGCTTTGTCAACAATATATTTGTCATTTTTTAGTAAAATAATTAAATAGGCTTTATATTTTTTTTAATAATATTTGTTTAGTGTTACACCGATTTTCCCAGTTTTCCTACGGTTTTCCCAGGTTTTATCTCGAGTTTTTAAACTTGATGAGAAGACTCTTGAGAAAATCGAAAAATTACAATTTTAAAGTACCTCCCCACGCCGATTTTCTTTTAGAAAAGGTGCTACACGTAGAAATCCGTGCAAGTCTTCTAGTAGAAAAGTTGCGCACAGATAAAAAAAAAATAAACATCTTTTAAAAGTATAAGTTTCTTTGGTCCACTCAGAATCTAAAAGAAACAAAAAATTGGTGGTTTTACTATAATACTACAATGCCTCAAAGGGATACCTACCTATCATAAATATGAACTTACTTAATACATTATACAATTTATCTATTTAAATACTAGAATGATTTTTACCTATATATAATGTTTCCAATCGATTTTTATTTTATCTTACTATCTTGGGTAGACGGGTGTAAATGATTACACCTCATTAATCCACCTTGATATTGATATTGTTAATCTATTAACTTTATTTAGAAACTTTTTTAATGCACGGTAAATCCTGGTGGGACAGCTGGTTATTATAATTTATAAGATTATAGAACAGTTATCAATGCTATAGTTGAATTATACCCGGCGTCCCGGCTTCGACCGTGTGCAGTTTCGTAACGTGAAAATGTTAAATGTTGCCGGACTTCAAGGCTTCGAACGCAGTCAGACGCACGTCCGCAGTGACTAGTAATTGCGGTGCGAAAATATCAACACTGTCGACAATTATAGTTTCGTAGCTTACCTATTAGCTGTGGGAAGTGAGGTCCCTTCGTCTGCAACCTTGAGTTGCGTTTTTTTACAATAAAAATTATTGTAGCACGCAACATTGTCGATTATAAAATAATATACTTACTATATTTTACAAGCAATGGCATCTACTTACTATCGCGATAATATTAATATTACGTACAAAAGAAATATTGCAATTTGGACTAGTTGGTTTTACACCATGTAATTTTAAATGTTTATTATGATATATGTGCAATATGTGTAGCCTACACGCTACGCGTTTTAAATTATTTTTTAATTATTAAAAATCACAAATTTAATAAAAATAGAAAATAAAAAAATAAAGTAAAAATAAAATTATTAAAATGTTTAATATTCGTTAATAACTGTATAAATACTTTTTAATATAATAATATTAAGAACACTTATTAGTCATTATTCAAACTTAAGATGTTGAAACTTCTGTGCATTTTATTCAGTTGAGTTTATACTACTTTGATAATTTTCAAGGATATATCGGTTTTTGTAATCAAATAAAACATATTACTATTAAATTCAATATTTTAATACACAAGTTATTTATTGTATCCATACATACATTAGCTTATTTCTATTTAATATTATAAAACAATAATTTACTATTCTTATAAGACCAATAGAATCGCAGCCAGGGGGTGGTGGAGGATTATACCCCCCCTGCCTGACAACTACTTTTTCAGAGTTTAAAAACTATATACTGTTAATTAAGTAATTAATTTATTGTAGTTTAACCAATAATAGGTATACAATTTTTCAATTTTCTTATGAATTTATGGAAAATTGACTGACTTATAATAAGTGAATGAGAGAATGACAAAATTAAATGCCCCACACTCTATTTTTTTAAGATAAGCCAGTGATAATTACAATAATTTTCAAAACACTGTTTTTGTACAATAATTTATTATATTACATATATTATATTGAACTTAATTACAAATCCACCTTATTATATTGGTAGGTTTATAAAATAATAAAGTAGGGAATGAAATATTATATATAGGAAATGTTTCATTTGTTCTTTAGTCAATATTTTGCATTCAAATAAATAGAAATACAAATAATTTAAAAAATAAATGCACGATTCAGGTAAAAATAAAATAAATAAATAATGTAAATATGGAAAAAATCAAAGAGACTATCAAATAATTGATAACACAATATTTTAAATAAATGGTATATCAGATTATGGGACATAAGTCTAATATTTTAAATTTGGTTATTCGATATCAACACTACAATTAAAGTCGTGTCGAATATTTTCAATAGAAATATCATCGGAACCAGAATTATGTTCTTGAGGTGCATTCAACATGTTTAATGTTACATCAGCAGAGTTGCATTTTGCACTCAATATACTTGTTGACATTGGTGTTCTCGTTAACGCAGCAGGATTGATTAGAGCTCGGCTTTCATAAGATTTTCTTTTCAGAGTCGCATGTATTTGTGATCTGGAAAGTTTAATTCATAAATTGGAAGACAGGAGAATAATAAAAAATCAAAACCATAAATATTCAAAAATAAATTTAACAGTAGGCACATATTATTTTGCACTTTCTACAAATATTGCAATTATGATCACTTATTCTGAATTAGACAATATAAAAACATTTTGATACGAAAATCAACAATTATTATTAATAATATAATAAATACAGTATAATTACACTGTCCGCTGTTTGATTTGATCACAAATAATACCTAGTTCATCAGTGAATTTTTTTACAGCACTTTGAAGCATTTCTACATCACCATCAGTCCATTTGCTAAAAATGAACAAATTAAGAATTGGTAAGTAGATATATTAAAATAAATGTACAAAAAATAAAAGGCTTCTGAGCAGAGTAAAATGAGTCACCTTTTTTGATCCATAGTCAAGGTAAATCAGAAACAAATAAAAAATAAAACTGATGTATCGATTTTTCAAAGTTGATAGAAAAATGATTGGGAATTTCTAATTTTTTTTTCAAATAAAATACTACCAGGCGAAAAATGATTATCTTTAAGGTAAAATGCGAATAATTTAGAACCTTCTTACTAACTGAGAATATGTTTTCTGAGAATAAATAACAAAAAGGACCTAGAGAGTAAATTGTTGAAATGTTAATAATTATTTCAAATAAAGTACTACTGGATGGTAATATGTCAATTGTTAGAAAAGTTATTTCTCATAAAATTGTTATAAAAAAAAAAAACAGAAATTAAAATTGATGTTATTAAAATAAAATATAAATAAACTTAACCTAACATAGACAAATTGTAATCATTCCTTATCGTTTATTCCTTTATTGGAGTTCATACCTATAATGACTAATATTGTTCCTTATTGTTTATTTGTTTCATCTATATTATTAATTGGTGCGACACAACATCCGGTTTATTACTTTTTATTATATTTTACCTACAACATAATTAAAATTTATATTATTTAAGGTCTATACAAATTTATTTATGGAATACAAAAAGAGAGGAAGGAAACAGAAGTTAGCGTAGAATGCTTAATAACAATGCTTTATTGATATTTAATTTTATAACAAATTTCAATTTCTGTGTTTTTTTTTATAACTCAATTTTATGACATTTTATACTTTTATAACATATGATTTTTATGAGAAATAATTTTTCAACACATGACTTTTATGAGACTTAAATTTATGATATCTGACACATGCATTTCTAACACTAGACCTAGATTCCCACTGGACATATCCTTTTTGAGATATAATACATAAAATAAGTATTTTAAAAATAAATTACAATGGATTCCGCTTAATGTGGGCACATGTTGGGACCAACCCTGTTTGCCCATATTAAGCGGCTCCCCATAAAAACTGAAATTAAATCAAAAACACACAAATTTGTAATGTCAAAAAGTTTTTATTTTGCACATGTGAATCATACAATTGAAAAAAACTGTTAAATTACTGCATAAATAAAACTAAATAAAACAATCTAAATAAAATTACTATTTGTGGAAAGTGTACAAAACATTTTAATTGCTTGTTATTTAGTATGAATCTGGTTAACAAAACGTGGGTAAACGCTTCAAGCTTTATCAGACAATTTTCATCACCCTCTTTCATGAACTCATACGCTAGTCAAAATATTTACTCAACAAAATCTCTTTAAGATTTAAATATTAATGCTTTTTATTTTAATAAATTTCAATAAATACAATGAAACCCGATTATATCATTCGTTTTTAAATATATATGTATACATTCTAGCGTTATGATAAAACAAAACTTGCCCACATAAACCGAATTGAGTGATCATATTTTGCAATTTTTTTTAACCTGTTAATATGTATTTGTATTGGGATCGGACCATTTTACCCATATTAACCGGTGTCCACATCAGGCAGAATCCACGGTATAAGAAGCAATTCATCAAGGGAAAAATCTGGATTTTTTTTAGGGTATATACAATGAAATAACCAGAGTATTTTTAATAACCAAAAGTGTTTTCTGGGAAAACAAAGACACATCATAGTAAACCTAATTCACTACATTTATAATCTAAAGTAATATTGTAATATTTATTATGACAAATTATACCTGTTGGTCGTCGGGATATCATTTTCTGGCTGTAATGTTATTGTTAATTCACCTAATCTGCCGAGAGCAATACCTGCAGCACTGAAAATCTCACCAACCTGTAAATAATAATAATTTATTACTTCAGCGATTCATGATCATTGTAGGTAGATAGTTTAAAAATTTACTTTTTCTGCTGAACTTTGATTGTTCATTTTGTATGTACACTCACTAAAATTGTTGATAGCTAAAAATTTAAACTAAGTAGATATATAAATTATACCAAAACGTTTAAAAATATTATTTTGGAAAAATTACCAAGTACAAAATATAATTTCTCACACGAGAAAAAATGAATTACTAATAGTTAGTTTAATACTGTTGATTGTTGTCTTGATAACAATTGATGCAGTAAAAGCAATACCACAACACGGTTTACGCGTCATTGTTAATGAAAATCCGAAAATCCACAGGTAATACTAAATTCAAGCACTCAGATATTCAGGTGTTAAAAATTTAAAAATAAAAAACCGATTATCGAATAATATTTACTATGATAATCAGAAGGCGAAAGTGATTTATTATAATTAATCTAATAAGTTTTTTTTTTTTTTTTGGTATAACTACGGTACAACATCGCTTTTCCCGAGGTAACACTGGTCGCTATGGTATTTGTGCGCAATGGAGGGGGACTTTCCGGCGGTCACCCCGTAACTATACTCGAAACCCCTCGAACTCCGTAGTCCATCCTCCCTCCACCGATACTCCTAGGTTCTGGTGTTCCAATTCCGTCGGTGACGCGAAGTTTATTGAACGCAACTCGTTTGTGTTTTCCTATTCGTGCCCGTACTAATATTATTAATTCTGTCGTTCACCGACGCCGCCGCCGCTATCTTCAGTGCTAATAACACCGTTATAATATCGTCAACAGTGGTGCGAAATAGTTTGGACGTTTTATAAAGAAATGACATTAATCATCATTTGTGCATGAAGAACGGCTATTAACCAAAATTCTAATTCTCGCAATTGGCGGTGCGGACTGAACAAGGTAAGTTTCGTCCGATTAATTGTGTTTGCTCGTAGGTAATCGATTCTAGCGACCAAAACACCGGGTCGTCGCATATCCTGCCACACCCAGTAGGTAGTGAAGCTGTCAATTAATTTCGAGGGTCCCGTGCATGTTTGACGTCAGTTATATCATTTTCCGACCTGCTAATACCCATTACCCAAGTTATTACCTAATAGGGTATCTTGGCTAGCCGATCACTCAATGATAATAATGAATTATATTTTATTGCTTTAAAAAAAAAATAACCAAAGTGCGATATAAAACAGTCGATGAGTATAACATTGTCGGTATTAATTCGATTTGGATTCTTGTTCACTAAAGAGGCAGAGCAGTATTATAATATTATTGTCTTTGCGTTAGCTGTGTAAGTAATGATTCATCAAAAGGTTAACTTATTACTATTTTTAATATTTTAAATTGCGAAATACTCGAAATAGTCTTCATGTTAAAAACTTGATAATACTGAATTGAATATTATAGACCAAGTAAGTGGTAATACATTGTTTGTCTATATAGTTTTATAGTAGGTAGGTAGTATAATAAAACCATAATAAATTCTAAATACCGGTACAATGAATTATAATTTAATTTGTTTTTATTGGCATTTTAATTGTTATTTTATTACCTATCATATATGTATACACAATAATTTCTCTGTGCTTATTCTAATAAAAATATTACATTTTCAAAATATCTAACACAATAAAATAATTAGGTATTAAATGTGGCAGTTTTTTCTGTGTAAACTAGAAAAATGCTTATCTGGAATATCTATGTTACTATATGCATACTTTATTTTAGTACTTACCTACTTGTTACAATGATTACATTCATTTAGCAGGTATATATTTTACTAGTATAATATATTTGACATATTATATACCTATTTATATGTATCATCTTCAAGGATTTTTCAATTAAATAATTTTTTCACAAATACTTATGAGTATATTATCCTAATAAAGTGTTAAGAGGATACTACACTACCATTTGCCGTCTTTGTCTATCTAATGGGCTATGTACTAAGAATGTACTTTTACACTTCCGATAGTAATCTGGGTTAAGTTAGGTAAGATCTTAAGATGGATCTTAAATCAATCGAAAAAGGTTTTTGACAAAAATTAATCTAAAGTGACTTAATATTTCAATTTAATTCAATCAACTTTTTATTTATTTTATGCACGGAAATACTTTTTAATTGATTTTGAAATAAGCCCTTCAGATTTGATGAAAATTAAACATATTTTGTTTCTATTATTAAAGCTTAAGTACTTATAAGAAGTACAAAAATGCAGTTTTGCTATATTGCTAATTAGATAGATAAATACTACAGAATATACTACTACTAGTATTTATGTAGGTATTTTTTTCGTCAGTCAGTTGTCAGTCCTATTGTCCATAGTATAGTCGTCAGCATAGGTGCAACTAAGGGGTTGCTAGAGGGTCTTTAACACCCCCAAGTTTATAATTACCATTCCCAAAAATCTCAATCAGGTTTTTCATAGTAATAATAAAATATTTTATTTGTGTATCTCATATTTCTTGAACAGAACAAAGTACAGGTTTCCTACAGACAATGCATGTGTGTATAAAAAATAATGTTAAAATAATCACAACAAATATGTATATACAATATTGTAAATGAAAGATGTAACTAACTATTGTAAGAGTCATGTAAAGGGGATTGTGGGGGCATAGCAGTCATGGATTTTTGATGTGTTCATAATTTTAACACCTCCAGTATTGGTGGTCTAGTTGCTCTTATGGTTGTCTGTTATTATAATATACTATAAAGTATTTACACGCTTCGTCTTGCCAACAAAAATTGTTTGAATTTGTCATTGTCAGAGAAGGAAGCAACAAAACCTTGCAAACAATCTACCATTTGATAGAATTCTAATGGATATTAAAACCAACTTTCCTCCTCAAAAAAAAATTTTAACTAAATTTTTTTTAATTTTATTTTTGCTTGAAATTGTAAATTATTTTCCATAAGTATTCATTATTTTTACAAGATTTTTATTACTATACTGATAATACTATACTGCTTGAAATTTTAAAATGATTAAATGTTAACTAAATTTTAATTAAACGTCAATGATATAATACAAATTCATAATTTTTTTATTATTTAATAAATTGCGGTAGTAGTCAAGGTAAAACGGAAATACCAAAAATAATTATTAATAGTACTAGGTAGTACCAATAATAGGTTTTGTTTCCTATTTGACAAATATAAATAGGTATAATACAAATATATAACTAGCTACCTATTTGCTTTTTAAATAAAAATTTAATCAAGTACCTAAGTGCCTATTCTAATGATTTCTGGTTTATTTATTATCATACATTTTTAGGTAATAAATACTTAAAGGTATGAAATGTATTATATTTTACATAAGGTGTATTAGGATAATTCTACATGCTTGAAAATTGTTTTTAAATCAGAGGTTCTCAAACATTTTTGGTTGATCTAATCTTAAACAAAAAATAATTAAACTAATTTGATAAAATTTGATACCAGAAACTACTTCTGAAGTTAATGATTCAAGAAAATCTTCAGTCCTTATTTTGTTCATAATTTTATTACTAATAAGTATTTAATGTATTTTTTTACATATACTGGTTAAATTAATTGTCACATCTCTGTTAATATTAATTTATGATTGTTTTTAACTACCTAGTCATAAAGTAGTATAATTTAAGCACCTAACCTAAATTTCAATAACATAAAAATACAACAGATAAATAATAAGTATCTAAATTGATATTTATTTAGTTTTCAATGAAATTTTGTCATTTTTAGAAATTAAAAAAATGGATCCTTTGATTCCAAAAGAGGTTAAAATCCTTGAATCTGCAGAAGATATTCAAAACCGACGTTTACAAGTACTAGGTCGTTATAGCGAATTTAAGGCAGAAGCTCGTTTAAAAAGAGAGAAACTTGAAGATTCTAGAAGATTTCAAGTAAATTTTTTTAAATTATTTACTTTTGTATCAGAATAAAATATATGTATTTATTAAATCCTAAATTGGTATTTATCTATTTTATTTTAGTATTTTAAAAGAGATGCAGATGAACTGGAATCTTGGATACTTGAAAAAACACAAGCTGCATCAGATGAAAGTTACAAAGACCCAACCAACTTGCAGGTTAATATTATAAAAACTAGATAATTATTTAATAGAAATATACCTATCATATTACTTTTTAGGCAAAAATTCAAAAACATCAAGCATTTGAAGCTGAAGTTGCTGCTCATAGTAATGCAATTGTTGTTTTGGATAACACTGGAATGGGAATGATAAATCAAAATCATTTTGCATCTTCTGAAATTCGCCAGAGACTTGGTAATTTTTTTAGAAAAATATTATATATAATTTACCTGATTTAAAAATTGTACAAGTTGTATTAATTTGGTATATTTTAATGCTACCATCTTCACTATTTTAATACCTTATAATGGTTATAAATAAACCTACCTTACTGTGTTATTACTTATTAATAATATAATATGATTTAGATTTTAATGTTAAATATTAAGTATTTTAAAATATTTTCTTGGACAATGTTTTGAACTAATTACAAAATTTGATTTTTATGATGCTTCAGTGAATTATGTATATGTACTAATATACAAATTTAAATTTTTTTTAGAACAATTGCATATAGATTGGGATTTACTTTTGGCAAAATTGGCTGAAAAAGGTGTCAAACTACAACAAGCTTTGGTTTTAGTGCAATTTTTAAGACAATGTGATGAGGTTATGTTTTGGATCAATGATAAGGTTAGAAGTAAATTTTAAATAGTTAAAAAATACTTTGTTAAACATATTTAAAATATGTTATTTAGGAAACATTTGTTACTACTGATGAATTTGGTGCTGATTTGGAACATGTAGAAGTATTACAGCGTAAATTTGATGAATTTCAAAAAGACATGACATCACAGGAGTATCGTGTAACTGAAGTAAATGAATTAGCTTCTAAATTGGTCTTGGAAGGACATCCTGAAAGAGAAACAATTTTGAAAAAAAAAGAGGTAAAATAATAATACATGGTACAATTTTATATTTTTTATTAATAAAAATCTACAATTAGGATTTGAATGAAGCATGGACTCGACTTAAGCAGTTAACTTTAATGAGAGAAGAACGTTTATTTGGGGCTCACGAAATACAACGGTTTAATCGTGATTCTGATGAAACAGTTGCATGGATATCTGAAAAAGATGGTATTTTGTCATCTGAAGACTATGGAAGGGATTTAGCTAGTGTTCAAACTCTTCAGGTTTGTTATATATATATACATTTATATTATTAGTAGTACTATTATATCTAATTATTTTGTAGAATCCTATGTACGTTATTACTATTTTATCATTCTTTCAACTTGCTTTTTTCATCTCAAATTTCTGGTATTATGTATAATATGCTATTAAGACATCTGTCCTAAAATATTAGTTAGAAAGATTAAAAGGATTTAATATTTACCTAAAAGTGAAAATTCAGTAACATCATTATTGATTGTATTGACAATGTTTAAAATAATATATAATTTAATCATTAAAACTGAGAGTGTATATTTTCTTAATCACTTAAATTGTTTATGAAAAAATTAATACAAATTAAAATAATATTAATTATAACTTTAGAGAAAACATGAAGGAGTTGAAAGAGATTTAGCAGCTTTAGAAGATAAAGTTTCAATTTTGGGCGAAGAAGCAGATCGTTTATGTGGAATCCACGCAGATCACAGTTCACAAATTCAAAACAAACGAGGAGAAATTGTTGCTTATTGGGAACGTCTTACTGCTAAAGCACAGGAAAGAAGACAGAAGTTGGACGAGTCTTATTCTCTTCAACGCTTTTTAGCTGATTACCGTGATTTGACTTCTTGGATTAACGATATGAAAGCAATTATATATTCTGATGAATTGGCAAAAGATGTGGCTGGCGCTGAAGCTTTATTAGAAAGACATCAAGAGCACAAGGTATATTATAATTTATATTGATGATTAAATATTTTATTTTATACATGGTTTTTAATTTAGGGGGAAATTGATGCTCGTGAGGATAGTTTCCGTATTGCATTGGAGTCTGGGGAACATATATTAAAAAGTGAAAATGCACCTACTTTGGTTAGTGAAAATTTAAGTAATTTGATCAGTGAAAAGAGTTCATTGTTAGCTTTGTGGGAAGAGAGACGGATATTGTATGAACAATGCATGGACTTGCAATTATTTTATCGCGATACTGAACAAGCAGACACCTGGATGGCTAAACAAGAGGTAAATATTTAAATAAATAATAGGTATATTTAATAGTACATTTTTTTTTTAGGCATTCCTTTCTAATGAAGATTTGGGTGATTCCTTGGATAGTGTTGAAGCATTAATTAAAAAGCATGAAGATTTTGAAAAATCTTTAGCTGCTCAGGAAGAAAAAATTAAAGCTCTAGATGAGTTTGCTACAAAATTAATTGAAGGACAACATTATGCCACTGAAGATGTTGCACAGCGGCGTGAAATGGTAAACTTCTTGCTTAAATATTCAATAAGTTTATTTATCTAATTTATTATGATTATTTATAAATTAAATAAAATTTAAATTATTATTTCTAGCTTTTAGAAAGACGTACTGCATTACTTGCAAAATCGTCTCAAAGACGTAGTGTTCTTGAAGATTCATATAGATTACAACAATTTGAAAGGGATTGTGATGAGACTAAAGGATGGATTAATGAGAAATTAAAGTTTGCTAATGATGATAGTTACCTTGTAAGTATTGGATTATTAATATTTATTGTTTATTAATTATTTAAAATAATTGTAAGTAATTTATGATATTTATTTTATTTGTTTATTATGCAGGATCCAACAAATCTGAATGGAAAAGTTCAAAAACATCAAAATTTTGAACAAGAACTTAATGCTAACAAATCTCGCATGGAAGAAATTACTTCTACTGGTCATGAGCTTATTGAATCTAAACATTATGCTTTAAGTCAGTACATTGAATTATGAAAAATTATAAGAGTATTTTTTGTAAATGATAATTTAATTTAAATTTAATTTTAGATCGTATTCAATTAAGAATGGATGAAATAGTTCATTTATGGGAAAATTTAGTCACTGCTTCGGGACAAAAAGGATCAAAACTACGTGAAGCTGCACAACAGCAACAATTTAATCGTACCGTTGAAGATATAGAGCTGTGGTTATCGGAAGTTGAAGGACAACTATTGAGTGAAGATTACGGAAAAGTAATTTTTATTATTGAGAATATATTGTTTTAATTTCTTTGTGAAATATTTTTAACGTGTGTATTTTGTTAAGGACTTAACAAGTGTACAAAATCTCCAAAAGAAACATACTTTGTTAGAAGCTGATGTTGCTTCACATCAAGATAGAATTGAAGGTATAAAGATAACAGCTGATCAGTTTGTAAATGGAGGTCATTTTGATGCAGATAATATTCACGCTAAACAGGTATGTTTTTTCATTTAAATTGCTCTCTTACAAATTATAATTTTTATTTAACTATTTAAATGTTAGACTGCATTATGCGATCGTTATTCTTCTTTAAAAAAACCAATGGAAACACGGAGACAACGATTGGCTGACTCACTTTTAGCACAACAGCTATTTAGAGATGTTGAAGATGAAGAAGCTTGGATCCGTGAAAAAGAACCTGTTGCTGCTTCAACTAATAGAGGTATCTTAATATAATAAATATATTTCTGATTCAAAAAAAAAAGTTGACTTCATATTAAAGAATGAACAAAGTTATTAAATTAAATTAAATTATAGGTCGTGATTTAATTGGCGTACAAAATTTAATGAAAAAACATCAAGCTGTTGTGGCTGAAATCAATAATCATGAGTCTCGTATAGCTGCAGTTACTCAAGCAGGGCAACAAATGGTTGACGCTAAACATTTTGCATCTGAAGATATAAAGCAACGTTTAGCTAATCTCAATAAACATTGGAATCATCTTAAAGAAAAAGCACTTCAGGTATAATTTGTATTCTTTTATTAAATATAAGATGGTTTTTTTTTTTTTTTTGAAAACTAATTTCTCATTTAAAATAAATACATTTTAGTAAAAAAAAAAAAAAAAACCAAAACATTTGTTACTTTTATATCCTATTGAAAATGAATAAATAACAGCTAGGTGTATTGCAACCAAAAATATATAAGTTTAGTCAACTCTCGATAATTCAAAGGTGGCGGGACTTATGAAAAATGTTGAATTGTTGAGATGTTTAAAATACTGAGAGAGCAAAAATAATTTGAATTACAGAGTTTTGAAAAAAATGTTTGTATTTTTATTCAAAAATTAAAAACAATAGTTACAAAAATTGCCAACATTTGTTTAAATTGTTGTTTATTTATTCTTTTTAAAATAAAATTATTGTGATACTTTACTTAACAATTTATAAACTTTTATATCATTTATTTTTCAATGTTTTTTAATTGTTTGATCAAATGTTCTTTGTCTAACATATAATATACACTAATATACACTTCCTGCAATGCAATACTTGAAAGTATTTTCTTTTTGGGCTTCTTCAGTTAATAAAATATTTAATCAAGCACATACAATGACTGTTCCATTTATATTAGATACTCAAAAATATTTGTTATCTAAAGTAAATTCTATATTGGAGAATTTTTTACTGGAATGCTATATCTTATGAACATGTACATTTTTCAGTATTAAGCTTGTATCCTAAACACGAATACGAATCTGTAAATTATATTAACTCAAAATTATGAACTTAAACTCATTTGTATTTATCAGAATTTTTAAATAATTTTTTGTATAGAATCATAAAAATACAAATATCATGATTAATGTGATTATCTGAATTGGCACTAATAATCTGAATACTTTTAAAGCAACTTATGTGATATTTATTATAATCATAAATTCTATGTATGTTATATACTTTATTAATATTAAAATTTTATTTTTTATTTTTATGTAGCGCAAACAAGACTTGGAAGATTCTCTTCAAGCGCATCAGTACTTTGCTGACGCTAATGAAGCAGAATCATGGGTTAAAGAAAAAGAACCAATGGTATTGAGTCAAGATTATGGAAGAGATGAAGATTCTTCTGAAGCATTATTAAAAAAACATGAGGCATTATTATCAGATTTGGAAGCTTTTAAAACCACAGTTGGATCACTTTCAGAACAAGCTGCTGCGTGTAAGGTGAGGAAATATTATATTTTTACTATTTTTAGTTACCTATTAGGTGCTTATAATAATTAGACACTTATGTCCTTAATTATAATTTAATAGTAATATATTACAATTGATAATTCTACGGGGTCTTATTAAATTTATGATAATACTTTTTATTATATTAGCAACAAGAGACTCCCGTGGTTGATGTCAGTGGAAAGGAGTGTGTTATGGCCTTATTTGACTATACTGAAAAGTCCCCTAGAGAAGTTTCAATGAAGAAAGGAGATGTTTTAATTCTTTTGAACTCTAATAATAAAGTATGAGATTATACATTTTAAAATTGTCTTTATTTAAGAGCAGAATTTTTTTTATTATGTTTTAATCAATACATTGATCCATATTTTTTTATTAAAGGAATGGTGGAAAGTAGAAGTTAATGATCGTCAAGGATTTGTCCCAGCTCCATATGTTAAACGACTTGAAGTTTCTGGTTTGAGTGCATCTCAACAACATTTAGCTACCGGAGGATCTATTGCCGCGAGACAAGCTCAAATAGAAGCTCAGTATACAAGATTGCTTAATCTAGCCAAAGAACGACAAACCAAACTTGCTGAAACTGTTAAAGCTTATGTACTAGTCAGAGAAGCGGCGGAATTAGCTACATGGATTAAAGATAAGGTAATTTAAATTTGTATCAATTCTTATTATTATTTATAACTAATGCTTGTTATTCTAGGAAAACCATGCTCAAGTACAAGATGTCGGAGAAGATTTGGAACAAGTGGAAGTAATGCAAAAGAAATTTGATGATTTCCAATCTGATTTGAAAGCAAATGAAGTACGTTTGGCTGAAATGAATGAAATAGCTATGCAATTGATGAGTTTAGGTCAAACTGAAGCAGCATTAAAAATCAACACTCAAATTCAAGTATGTAAAATAATATAATATACTTATATTTCTCATGATGTAATTAATTTTGGTTTGCACATAATGTTTCAAATTATACTGTGATATTCTATCCTCTGTTATACACAACAGTTTTGTAATTTTTACAAAATATTTAGACCCATTCTCTCATACCTAAACGTTTAATTTTAATTGCGTTTATAAGATAATCGACCAAGATAAGATTATTGATCATGGTCAGTTAACAGCTGTAAACTCAGTTTAAGAATCAGATTAATGCCTTTTTTTTTCCATAGGGAGAATGACCCTTAGTCATTATACACCATATACCCGGGAATTACATTGCCAGGAACATATAAAATAAATTGTATTTTATTAATTTATTAATATTTATTTTTCATTAAATATAGGATTTAAATGAAAAGTGGACATCTCTCCAGCAACTTACTCAAGCAAGAGCTACACAGTTAGGATCGGCACATGAAGTACAAAGATTTCATAGAGATGTTGATGAAACACGAGATTGGATTCGTGAAAAAGACGACGCTCTTAACAATGATGACCTTGGTAAAGATTTACGAAGTGTTCAAGCTTTGCAACGTAAACATGAAGGATTAGAACGTGATTTGGCTGCTTTACAAGATAAGGTATGTAACATTTAAATAGTAGTATAAATGTTAAGAATACAAACATTGTACATTTTTCTATTATAGATTCGTCAATTGGATGAAACTGCGAACCGCTTAATGAATACCCATCCGGAATCTCGTGATAATACATACATGAAACAAAGAGAAATCAATGAAGAATGGACTCAATTAACAGCAAAAGCAAACTCAAGAAAGGAAAAACTTTTAGATTCTTATGATTTGCAACGATTCTTGTCTGATTATCGTGATTTAATGTCTTGGATCAATTCAATGATGGGCTTGGTTTCTAGTGATGAATTAGCATCTGATGTCACTGGAGCTGAAGCATTATTAGAACGTCATCAGGTAAAATACAATATTTTAAATAGTTCATATTTTTGAACTTTTATTTTGGATTTATGCTTAGTAATATCCACAGTATTAAAACATAAATAATTTACATTTATGTCAGACATATATTTATTATTTATGTACTCCTATCGTTTTTGTAGAGTTTGAGAGCTGAAATAGACTATCGTTATGGTATAGCTCAGGTATAATATGAAGTATTGGTTTTTGTGTAAATGTCATTTTACAGTTTGCACTTCACTTACACTATTGAAGTTTTTATATTTTTTTTTAAGTTTTGTTTTTTTACATTCTAAATATAATATTAGTAAATACTTTATAATATACAGCAATATAGTGCCCAGATTCTTATAAGCAAATTAATATTATTTCAGATAGATACATTTGTACACTGATTGTTTTAAATTTATTATGAATATTAAGTTATATATTCATTCTTCTTTTAACAAAAATCTGATAATTGGGCAAAACAATTCAAATTTCACAACACATTAACAATTATTGTCAATGCACTTTTTATTTGATTTGTAGGTACTTAATTTGTTATACACTAGATTATAATAATATTAATTTTACTACATCAAGCATAATGCAACAAAGAAAATTGCACATTGAATGATCATAAAAAATTAATATATATATATATATATTCATTTTTAATTTCTCAGTTGTATGTATATGATATAAAATTAATTTTTTTTATTGAATGGTCAATATTTTTGAGGCAATTAATATAATTATTTCAATTTAAAATTAGATTAATTTACAATTAGTATTTTAACCATGTCCTAAAGGGTTAATAAATAATTATTTTGTGAATTTAATAATATATAAACTCATAGTTCATATATTAAAAAGACTTGTATTTTATTCAACAATTGAATATATTTTGCTGAAAAAATGATATGAATATCTGGGCCTAAATATTAATTTTAATAAAATTAACTCATTATCTTTGTATTTTTATGTATATAATAATGTATTTGATTTTATTTAAATAATTTACTTACTCAAGTGTTATTATATTACAATCGACAAATTAATGAGTAACTGTATACTAATAAAATACACCAACATTTTCTATTTAAACTAATAGTTACATTTCTACTATCTATTAATACCATTTTAGAGAAGATAATCTTTTTTTTGAGTGTTACTAAAAAAAATTAATATTTCATTCTGTCACAATTTTTCACTATTTAGAATAAAATAATTTGTTAAAATTCTTATATTCAATATTTATCATTTTTATTTAAGGAACATCGTACAGAAATTGATGCTCGTACTGGTACCTTTCAAACATTTGAAATGTTTGGTCAGCAACTTTTACAATCTGGACATTATGCAAGTGTCGAAATTCAAGAAAAACTTGAAAGTATGACCGAAGCTAGACAAGAATTAGAAGAGTGAGTTTTTAGTATTTTTCAGATTTTTTTTACACTAATAATGTTAAATAATAAACAGGGCATGGATAAATCGCCGAATGCAGTTAGACCAGTGTTTGGAATTGCAATTATTCTATAGAGACTGTGAACAGGCTGAAAATTGGATGTCTGCTCGTGAAGCATTCCTTGCATCTGAAGAAGTTGATTCTAAAGGAGACAATGTTGAAGCTTTAATTAAGAAACATGAAGATTTTGATAAAGCAATCAATGCTCATGTATGTTTGTCATTGAAATATAAATTGTCTTAGTCTTAATAGTAATTTATTTTATCTTTAGGAAGAAAAAATTGCTGCTTTACAAACTTTAGCTGATCAATTAATGGCTGCTCAACATTATGCTGCGAAGCCCATTGATGAAAAAAGACAGCAAGTTTTAAATAGATGGCGTCATTTAAAAGAGGCATTAATTGAGAAAAGATCAAAACTGGGTGAATCACAAACACTACAACAGTTCAGTAGAGATGCCGATGAAATTGAAAATTGGATTGCAGAGAAACTGCAGTTAGCTACTGAAGAAAGCTACAAAGATCCAGCTAATATCCAGTCTAAACATCAAAAGCATCAAGCATTTGAAGCTGAGTTAGCTGCTAATGCAGATCGTATTCAAAGTGTTTTAGGTATGGGACAAAATTTGATTGATAAACACCAATGTGCTGGATCTGAAGAAGCTGTTCAGGTATTTATACAATATTATAATATATGAGTGATAGTTCATATTCATTTTTTTAATATTTATACTTACTGTATTGTAGTCAAGATTAGGATCCATTGCTGATCAATGGGAATATTTGACTCAAAAAACAACTGAGAAATCTTTAAAACTTAAAGAAGCTAATAAACAGCGTACTTATATTGCTGCAGTTAAAGATTTAGACTTTTGGTTGGGCGAAGTAGAATCGTTATTAACATCTGAAGACTCTGGAAAAGATTTAGCATCCGTTCAGAATTTAATCAAAAAACATCAACTTGTTGAAGCTGATATTCAAGCTCACGAGGATCGTATTCGAGGTTTTAAATAATAAAATAAAATAAAATGTTAAAATATTCATTAATTGTAATTGTATATTTTTTCTATATAATATTCAGATATGAATGGTCAAGCAGATTCTTTAATTGAAAGTGGTCAATTTGAAGCAGGAAGTATTCAAGAACGTCGTAGTTCCATTAATGAACGATATGAACGTATTAGAAACTTAGCAGCTCATCGTCAAGCTCGTTTGAATGAAGCTAATACATTACATCAGTTTTTCAGGGATATTGCTGATGAAGAATCATGGATAAAGTAAGTTATTACTTAACACTATTTAAAAATTAAAATTTATTTATTGTTATTGTTAGAGAGAAAAAACTTTTGGTTGGATCTGATGATTATGGCCGTGATTTAACTGGTGTTCAAAATCTGAAGAAAAAACACAAGCGTCTTGAAGCAGAATTAGCATCTCATGAACCAGCTATACAATCAGTACAAGAAGCTGGTGAAAAATTAATGGATGTTTCTAACTTAGGCGTTCCTGAAATTGAACAGGTATATATTTTTTTTTTTATGCTTTTCAAATTTTTTATTTTTATTTATTTTATTTTTTTTCTCAGCGATTAAAGTTACTTAATCAAGCATGGGATGAATTAAAGCAAATGGCTTCTACACGAGGTAAGAAATTAGACGAATCTTTAACCTATCAACAATTTTTGGCCAAAGTTGAAGAAGAAGAAGCATGGATCAGGTTAGTCAATTAAAAACATATTGATATAATTACAGAAGAAACTTTTTATAATTTATCATTATTTTTATTCTAGTGAAAAACATCAACTATTATCCGTGGAAGATTTTGGTGATACTATGGCAGCTGTGCAAGGTCTTTTGAAAAAGCACGATGCATTTGAAACTGATTTTGCTGTACATCGTGATCGTTGTGAACAAATAAGCCATGGAGGAATAGACCTTGCTGATTCTAAAAATCATCATGCGGATAGTATTTTACAGCGTTGCCAACAACTTCAGGTATACATACATAACATTTTAATTTAAATATATATAATTAATATAACTTATTATGTAAAATAGATTAAGTTGGACAATTTATCTGCACTGGCTGCTAAACGAAAGTCGAAGTTAATGGACAATTCAGCTTATTTACAATTTATGTGGAAAGCAGATGTTGTCGAATCTTGGATTGCCGATAAAGAAACTCATGTTCGATCAGAAGAGTATGGGAGAGATTTATCCACTGTTCAGACTTTACTTACTAAACAAGAAACATTTGATGCTGGTAAAAACTAAATTTAAATGTTTATTGGTTTTCATCAAATTACTTAAAATTTAAATAACATGATTTCTAGGTTTGCACGCATTTGAACATGAAGGAATACAAAATATCACTGTTCTTAAAGAACAATTAATTACTGCTAATCATAATCAAACTGAAGCAATATTAAGACGACATGCTGATGTTATTAACAGGTACGTATTATTTAATTTTGTGTATAGGTAGTTTAATAATTTTAAGAACTGAAATTTTATTATACTTAAAATAAAATTTGTTGTTTAGATGGCAACAATTATTAGAAGCTTCTAATGATCGCGAACAACAACTATTACTTATGCAAAATCAATTCCGGCAAATTGAAGATTTGTATTTGACTTTCGCAAAAAAAGCTTCTGCATTTAACTCCTGGTTTGAAAATGCTGAAGAAGATTTAACAGATCCTGTGCGTTGTAACTCCATAGAAGAAATAAGAGCACTTCGTGAAGCACATGCACAATTTCAAGTAAATGAATAATTATTATTTATTAATATGTATTTTTGAAAAACTGAAAATGTACTATTTATCTATTATTATTTAATATTTATATGGTTATTTTATAGGCATCACTAACGTCTGCCCAGAAAGATTTTGAAGCTTTGGCTGCTCTTGATCATCAGATTAAAAGTTTTAATGTGGGTCCAAATCCATACACATGGTTCACCATGGAAGCTTTAGAGGACACTTGGCGTAATCTTCAAAAAATTATAAAGGAACGTGATATTGAATTGACTAAAGAAGCCCAGCGACAAGATGAAAATGATACATTAAGAAAAGAATTTGCTAAACATGCCAACACTTTCCATCAATGGTTAACTGAAACCAGGTATTACTTCACTTGAGCAATTTATTGTTCCACTATTTATTGAAATAATAATTCAAATACTATTTTCTTTTTTTAAATATAGAACATCAATGATGGAAGGATCTGGTTCGTTAGAACAACAATTGGAAGCAATCAAAGTAAATTAATTAATAAAACTAATTTTGTGTTTCATTAATTAATTAAAATTTTAATAGCGTAAAGCAACTGAAGTGCGTTCACGGCGTTCAGATTTGAAGAAAATTGAAGACCTTGGAGCTATTCTTGAAGAACACTTGATATTAGATAACAGGTCTGTACAAAGTTTTATGACATATTATTTTCTCTAAAAACAAATACTTTAATAAATTACAATTATTTGTTAGGTACACAGAACATAGTACGGTTGGTTTAGCCCAGCAATGGGATCAACTAGATCAATTAGGTATGCGAATGCAACACAACTTAGAACAGCAGATTCAAGCTAGAAATCAATCTGGTGTCAGTGAAGACGCATTAAAAGAATTCTCAATGATGTTCAAACACTTTGACAAAGACCGTTCAGGGCGCCTTGACAAAACTGAATTCAAATCTTGTCTCAGAGCCTTGGGTTATGATTTACCCATGGTAGAAGAAGGACAACCCGATCCTGAATTTGAAGCTATTTTAGGTACCTATCTTGTATTGTATTAAGTTAGTATTTTTACAGTGTTTCATATAATGTTTAATTTTTAGATGTGGTCGACCCAAATCGCGATGGTTATGTTTCTCTTCAAGAATATATGGCATTCATGATCAGCAAAGAAACCGAGAATGTACAAAGTTCAGAAGAGATTGAAAATGCTTTTAGGGCAATCACAGCCGGGGATAGGCCGTATGTTACAAAAGAAGAACTTTATGCCGTAAGTAACAATTTCCTTATTAAACAATATTTATTAATAATGGCATTTATTTGCATATAGAACCTTACCAAAGACATGGCCGATTATTGTGTTGCTCGTATGAAGCCGTTTGTTGATATCAAAACTGAACGTCCAATCACCGGTGCTCTAGATTACATAGAATTCACAAAAACACTTTTCCAAAATTAAATAATAATAATTTATTGCACGCTATATCAGAGTTTGTTTATAATAGATTTATTTACATGTTTAATTATTTTTTAGCTTAAGACTAAAAATCTTGTGAGCAATTTAAAATTAATTTGCATTTGAAATATCATATGTTATATTAATAAAATATTTTATTTTTACTTGAATGTTCCAAATTTTAATTGAAAAGTGAATTTTTATTTGATATCTTTATGTTTAACACTTATACATGTATACTATAAAAAGATATACCTACTAACATTATGTTTTTTTTTTTTTTTTTTATAATTATTTATTTATTTATTTAGCATAGAAAGAGATGATTTATATTATTGAATTGCTTGTTGCTTGTGAGTTTTATTAATGCAATTATATCATTTTACCTAATTTATTTTCACAATATAAAGTCTCGCCAAATAGTCCAAAGCGTGTTTTTTTTTCTATTTCCACTGAATAATGCATATAATTTTTTAAATACTTAATATATAATTTAAATAAATTCATACGTAATGTCTGATATATATTATGCTGACTGATGTGGAAAAAACCTGATCTGAGCAGAATAATAAAGATTTAATTTGTACTACTGTACTTATTAGTTTCTAAGAAAATGCATTTTAATAACCGAAGCAGTCATAATCTATCAGTCATTGAATATTGCTTTAGAGAGGTAATCTGAATTTTTATATACACTTGGCGTCACAAAAATCGCACATCTTTAAAATTAAGTTTCAAACGGGCATTTCCCCGAACCAAAACATTTAATCCAAACAATAAAGATATAAATTGAAAGTACAGTTAATGACCTCTTATCCGATAGTAGTTTCATTTCATAAACAATAATCATATTCGGAGTATACGGTGCATTAGGAAAATGTATAAATATACTCCTATCTTATCTTATATTCTTTGGCTATAGAAAAATCAGTTTAAAGTGTCAAATGCAGGTCATTCACTTCCTAAACATTGAAAAGGACGTACGTGAATACTCTTTAAACAATATTATTTCAAAAAATAACGTATTAAATGGATACAACTGCTAACGAAGCCGCTCAAGTGGTAGCATTAATGGAATCAGGGATGCGTCAATGTGATGTTGCACGGCAACTAAACTTGAGCCGTTTTGCCGTTCGACGAGTTTTCCAACGTTATCAAGAGACTGGTGGCTTTATCCGGAGGCATGGATCAGGCCGACAACGCTGCACAACGGACAGAGATGATCGTTTTATTGTCTNTGTAAAAAATTATACGGAAGAGGTTGGGATCCCTGTTATGAACTGGCCAGCGAGAAGTCCAGACCTAAACCCAATTGAGCACCTCTGGGACGAATTAAAACGAAGAGTGCGGTCACATGATCCTGCCCCAACAACCCTCCAAGATCTTCAATATGCTGTTGTTGCGGAATGGGTGAACATTCCTCAAGAACGCATCGTACGACTCATAACTTCTATGAAAGATCGTATGGAAGCAGTAATTAAGGCAAGAGGAAGTAGCACTAGATTTTAAATAACATTTAGTAACAGTTTTTTATTTTTATATGAAGTCTATTGTCTGTTTCTGTTTGTAAAACTGTATATCCTCAATACAATTTGTTTTCCTCTTCCACGATTAACTTATTTTTTAAAACACTGATAAACAAAAACACATACCATTTATTTATTTTTCAAGTTTATTTCATCACCTTTCAAATGATATATCATAACAGTACCCTTATATATGATTAAGTGTAGTTAAAATTACTTTGAAAAATAATTTGCAATAGGTGCGATTTTTGTGACGCCAAGTGTAGAACTCTATTTTCAAATTGTGCCTTATACCAGGAATAAAATATGTTAAGGTTATTTTATATATTTTCTAGGAGCAAGGTTGATAATTACTTACTAAGTACCTAATATCTAAGTATATTATGTATAAAACCTTGCTAGAAAATAATGATTACAGTCTTGTGCCACATTTCTTTTAAAATAATAACAAACATCAATTTTTTAGAACTATTATTGGTACATGAGTTTTTGAGTTTTATTTTTTTGGGAGGGGGGTTTATATTAATTAAATATAAATGGCTTCGTATAAATTAGAAATCCTCACTAGGATTCTAGAGTACCAAAATTATTTTTGAAAATTATTGACAGCCGCTTGTAGTAAATCAATTTGAATAATTTGTTTGTACCTATCAACTTATCTGTCAAATTGGTAATTCAATTAAAGTTGAAAATGGACAGATAAAATAAACAAAAATAATAGGATAAGATAAATAAGATATTGCATTTACTTTATTTTATTTACTCTTTAAAAAGTGTAGAATGTACAATTAAGTTTTAGATGTTTAGTACAGTGGGATTGCTGCTATAATTAATGATGCTCGGAATTTGTATACAAGATGTTCTTGTAGTAGTAAAAAAATATAGTAGATCCATTGTTAACATTTTTTATAACCATTTAGACTTACAAAAATTATGACACCGGTATTTTTCACGCTTATTATTTTACTATTTATGTAAGGGTTTAGTGCTTTGTGGCCCTTAAGCAAATACCTAAGTTTAACAATCCAATATTTAGATTAGGTACCTCTCGGAATATCTTATAATATTACATATTACCTATATATTATGACATTTACCTATCTAAATATTATATTCTAAAACTTGATCCCGTTGAATGAGAATGGTTACAAATAAAGCAAAATACAATTCATAATATTACCTAACCTATATTATAGGTAAGTACCCATGATTTACTAAACATATAATTAGGTATTATTATAATAATCGTGTCAAATTGAAAAAACAAAAATAGAGTGTACCTACATTGGTTACATGTGAATATGCAGATGGCCGGAAATACCGAATTATAAAATACCATATAGGTAGGTAGATAACTTTTTACACGGAAAATTATTCTATGGATAATTATAGACTGAATTATCTGAGAATCTTAAATATTTATGGATATGGAAATAATAATGGCGTAGGTACCTAGATAACAAATAATTGAATATACATGGGTATATTTTATTTTAGAAAAGATACATTTCTAATGCTAACATACAATTTCAGACTCTCAATAAGTTCTTGAATCAACAAAATGTTTATATTACACTTACCTATCTAAATATATTTGTGTATAATGCTGAAAAACACTAAATTAAATGGAATAAGTATGACATACTTCATTGAAATTTCGCCAATGAAAGAATTACTTGACCAAGTGTTGTGAAATGCAGTAAAATTTAAATTTTAAAATCGTGTTAAAAACCACTATTTGATCTTTAATTATAGCACATTTGGACACATTTTGTGTGGGTAGTCGGAAAAAGTTGACAAGAGCATTTCTTGGAAATGTACATGATCAAAATAATTTTATTTTTGGATTTTGTTGGAGTTAAAGATTACAACCTTCGACTAAGCTTTGAGTTTCATACTAATATTCATAGTAAATAAATTATACAGCTGGTAGGTATTATTAATACAAAAATGAAAAATAAAATGGTTACAGTGTTACTATGTACACTGTGGCCTGTGATCAATGTGACATTGTCATAAAATAAAAAAAATCATTGCCTTTATGTACATTTTTTTTTTTATAAATAATCCATATATTTTAAAATAGATATGATAAATGCTAAATTTAGAGAAGTCAATTATAAGCTTTTCTGTTATATATATATAAATAACTGAGCATAATTAGTTCAAAATAATAATAATAAAATGTCAATTGATTTTTTATTTTTTTTTTCTTATCCTATACCTATTTACCTTTAATTTTTAAAATCATTTTCCTATTTCAAATTAGTTATTAAAAAGCTTAATAGATAACAAAAGGAACAAAAATTAATTAAATAACTCGATTTTTCATAATGCATTTATTTTTATCAAAATAATTTAAGATTTAATGTTTACCAGATGCAAATCTATTCAATTACTATTCGTTTTATCTAAAAAATGAACCACATATTTTGCCAAGCTCTTGTAGGTTTTAACCTAAAAATAAAAATAGTTGCATAAAACATTATTGTAAAATTTTTTGGATAATATTCTTAGCAACAAAAATACTAAGTATGTATTATAATTTTGTATGTTAAATTATCAATTCAAAAAATTTTATTGGAGAACAATCAGTAATTTTGTTTATTATGAATTGTCAATATATTTTTTCAACATATAAATAAAAATTACTTGTGAGGAATTCGGATGAGTCATAACAACAGGTTGACCAGTATCACAGCCATTAGTAATAGCTGGATCCAAAGGTATAGAAAACAATATCTCTATTTCTAAAAATATTATAAATCATTATTATTACTATTAATGTAACTGAAAAAATAATAATTAAATACCCTCTTGCTTGGCTAATTCTTGAACACTATCTCCAAATAAATTATTTTCATGTGAGCAGTTAACACATTTCATGACACTCATATTTTGTACTATACCTAGTATGGGAACATTTAATTTTTTATACATTGTTATACCTCTTCTAGTAACGTCAAGTGCAGCTTTTTGGCCAGTTGTTACAATCACAACACCTGAATAGAAAGTTTTCAAAATATAACATTAAGACCAATAAACCTAATTATTTATTTAACAACAAAGTAATGATATTACCACTTAAAGGCAGATTTTGAGCAAGGGATAAGTGTGTGTCCCCCGTTCCGGGCGGTGTATCTACAATCATGTAGTCTGTATGATCCCAGCAAACATCTCTTATTAATTTGTCAATAGCACCCATAACCATTAACCCTCTCCAAATGGCAGCTGATTGATTAGTTATCAAATTACCCATTGACATACTGCAATAAGCGAAATGATAACCAATTCAAAGACATACAGAATTTACACAGATAGTTTACCATTTCACTCCATAGTTTATGAGAGGTATCATAAGATTATCTATAAATTAATTAAATTAAAATGTATTGTACATCCCCATAGTAAAGGAAATACCTACTCACCATTGTTGAGCAAAGGTGTTTCATGCAAGTTCATCATCAGTGGTATAGATGGTCCAAATACATCTGCATCCAATAATCCAACATCTTTGTTAGGCACTACACACTTCAGAGCAGTTGCTAGGTTTACTGTGTAAATATAAAAAATTGAACTTTATAAATGTATTATATGGGCATAAACTAAATAATATATAGCTTACCAGCAGTTGTCGATTTTCCAACACCACCTTTACCGGAGGCTACTAATATTATGTGATTGACACCTTTTATTGGTTTCTTTTGTGGTAATTTTTTCTTCATGAGTTCTATTTGTTTTTCTGTTAGTTGTGATGAATATTTTGCATAGATACATCTCAAATGATTCTAAAAAAAAATGTAGCCATAAAACCATTCAAATCCAAACAATTTAACAAGGTAGGTATGTTAATTTTTTTTATAAACTCAGTTTGCAATTAGTAAAAAAAATGGTAACGTTAATCAAGAGATAAAGTTTACTTACAACAGATTTTAAACTCGTTTTAAACATGATTTCCTTCTTGGTTCTTTGACAAATTAAATTAAATTAAATTATTATTTATCACATTCATTTTGAATACGGGTTGAAAGATAAGGTGGGCCAACTATACCTTATCTTATACCCCATTTCCAAATTGTACCACTGTGAAATTGAGCGCTGTCCTTCAGACGCATTATACTAGTTCAAAATAACCGTGAACACAGATATCCGATGTATAGAAAATGTAAAATATATAATACCAGATTATAATCAATGATAATACTTTTAAGTTATAGATGGTCGACTTAAATATTAAATAATGACGCCATACCACTAAGCAATCATTTGCAATTAGCTAAAATAGACCTCTGAAAATATCTATATGATAACTATATGTATCTACCTATTTGATATTCATGTCTTTATTTCCAATTATTCAAATTAATTAGTTTTTAATATTTTTTCGAGTAAATTAATAAAAGATTCATCCAAGGAGTGTGTTTTAACAAATATGTTTAATTTTGTATAAAGGTTTATTTTTATGTATTGGTATTTTAAGTTTTTTGAGAATTTGACAATCTTTTTTTTCTTATTTTCTTGTAAAAATTGTATCATCTTCATTCTAATACAATAAATTACAGCAAATGAAATTATGTTCCCCATTATGACTTAGATATGGGAAATTGTCAGACGTCATATCTATGATGAGTTCAAATACATGCGTAGATGAAGAATGTTTGGGTGTATCAATCATCGATTAGTTTACATGTCAACTAATGAAGCACACAGTTGTTCAGAATAAACTTGTGGTGTTACAAAAACTGACTTGGAAGTATTATAATCACCAATGTATTTTGTAAGATAAATTTCCTATAAAAGTAATTAATTGATTTGAAATATTTAATAACATTTTATATAATAATTAATGATAAATGTATCATACTATTTTGTAACATACCAATTAAATAATATATTAGACAAACTATTACTTCAGCCTTTGCATAATTGTGTTAACAACTTCATAAAGTTTCTAAATCTTTCTCTTTGATTATTTTATAAATTTTCAACTAAATTTGACTTCTTTGGTTTAAAGATTCCTTTTATTTCCCTGAAAATAAATACCTATTTAATTCCAGGAATTAATCAAATAGTTTGAGAAATGTAAGTGTTGATTGTATTGTAACTCTTAAACCACAAGCTGTACCTACTACCAGTTAAAAATTCAGATTTTTTATTTTTCTATCAATATATTCCTTTTCTCATTAATCTAACCATCTAAAAAAGGATTGAAAAAATTGTATTACATCCAGTAAATACACAAACAAAAACAGTGTTTGATGATTAATTAATTTTTGAATAATAACTTGTTAAGCAAGTGTAATAAATATTAAATTTTTGTTATGCCTGATAGTCTTTGCTGTTAATTCTAAACCCTTCTGGACCAAATTTTTGATTCAAAGTATCAAAACAGTTAATCAATTTTCTAAAAAAATGCCTGGTTCACAATCATTACATTTATTGTCATTAAAACTTTTGGAAAATAATAAACTGCCAGTTACAGAATTACTTAAGACCTTTTTAGTAAAGAAAAAAAAAATTAATAAATGTATAGGTAAGATATAAATAATATTTTTGAATTACTTGGGTTGTTAATCAAACTTTAATTATATCAGAAACACTAAGGTCAATATTATTTTTTGATAATTTTGTGCATACCCTTAGATTTCCTGGCAATTTATTATTGTTTTGTTCATAGAAATCATTTATATGATGCTATTTAAAATATTTAAAAATGATGCATTATGCATCCAATTATCAAAATAGGCATACATTATTTATACTATAAGTTATTATGTTATACTTGCTTTGGATGAAATAAAATATATATAATCCCTTACTCTCATTTTAAAAACATCTAGGTACCAAAACGCCCCAACACAAACTAAAACAAACAAAATATACCTATTTGGGTTAGATTAGGCTATAGTTTTAGCAGTTATGTATTAATTATTGTTTATTAGGTACATATTTCTCAAATTTTTATTAAAATCATTCAAAATTCTCAAAACTTATTACTATTTTTTGTCACATAAATAGTTAATTAGACTACAAAAACATTAAACAAATACAAGATCTCAACATAATAATGAACTTACTTTTAATACTTTGTCATTGTATAATTTGTTTCACATTTTTAAATAGATGTGGTGCATCAGAGAATACATATCAATGGCGTTTTGTTAAAGGGGCGTATACCACTAAAAATCAAAAAATATGGTCTTAGTAACAAAAAAATCTGAAAAATAAAGAGCTTAAACTGGTAAAAGGGCATATTTAAATATAGAAAATTAAGTTGATAATGTTAACTAAAAGATAAACAAGCTCCCTTTTAAAATATAATTAAATCACTGATTTGTTAAAACCACATTTAATGCATGTATACTTAATATACAGGGTATTATGTGTACGAGTAATTTTATTGTTTTCCATGATAAACATCATTAATCACTGTTTTGCTGTTTTTTTTTGCTCCCTGAAAAAGTGAAAATTGACAGGCGCTATTTTAATAAAACACTGTCGATATATATTTTCCTAACATCAACTAGTGGATGGAAAACACAATTTTTTAAAGAATTTATTTCTCTGCTAACTCCTAGCTCTGACCACATTTTCCTGTCAGTCTGAGCTCCACCAGACACTATGTCATGGACGATTGCATCTGCCTCTTCTAAATGATGATAAATTGTACAAATTCAGTTTCAGCTACTAATTCTTTGGCGGCAAAAACAGCCACTGGTTGATGTGTATCAGTAAGTGTGGCTGGAACATAAAAATAAGTCCACTTGTGACTTTTTTGTTGATATTAGTTGCCTTGTACTCTTTAGTAAAATCAACAAGACCCTTACATGTCACGTTTCAAACAAACTGTAAGTGCTTGTCGAACTGAAATTTCATCCACCAAAATAATTTTATGTTTTTGCATTGTAGTTTTGCATTCATTTTTATTTAAATAATGTAAAAAAGTTTTAATCAAAATCACAAGCTGTACCAATCTATCATGGTAAGAATTGTCTTAAAAATCTGATATTGGGAAGTGACAGTAAGTTAATTTTTTTTTTACAATAATTATAACTATTTGGAGTTCTTATATGCAACAATACACAACACATTATCCACTCATCTGAATACCATCGATCTTTTGGATTACTGATCTGTAATTTATTTTTTTTATAGAAAAAAAATATTTGTATGTTCAATAGGAGTATATGTTTACACAGCGGTTCCCAAACTTTTTTCATTCAAGGCTCCCCAATAATAAAACAATTTTTTCACGCCTCCCGCAAAGAATATCTAATTAAATAGGTTAACAATTATTTGATATTTGATATTAATTAGTTAACAGTTAACTTATTATTTTATTTTACGCAAAATAATTAATGCGAACAATGCGCTTGTTTTTCGTTTATTAATTCTTCAAAATTAGGAATTAAGGTATTTACTGAAACACGCATTTCTAACCCAGTATAACTTACTGATGTATAATCAAACATTTAAATATTGTATTAATTTAAAAATGGCCTCGTACCAATAATTCATTGTTCATGTTCGTAAAAATACGAACTAAAAAAAACTATATTAGGTGTGTACTTTGCAACGTCCAAAAACGACCATTTTCCGTTATCAAGGAACAAGCATACCTATAACCGATATAGTCGACCGGTTAATAGATTACGCCCGTGTCGACGGATATGTTATGTCATCATGAGCAATAATTCCCCCCCCCCCCCGCACAAAGGTTTATACGATCGCAATCTGTTGGAATTCACAATAATATATTCCTGACTACGGGTGAACGGCCAATCAAATCACGTTTCCCCTTATCGTCAAAAACGTCGGCCCGCGGCGATGTGTGCCACAAACGTCTCCGCGCTCCGCTACCTAGTTTTCTGTTTTTTTTCCGTTCCTTTCTTTCTTCGTGTCTCGAACTCTTGTCGAGACTTTGTCACCGGACGGTCTTTCGATACAGTTCTCTTAATAAAACACTCCCGTGTATTGCACGGATTCACATAATTTGCCATCAAGAAAAGGTCGTGTACCTTGGCACGTTTCACGGTGTGCCTCAAACGAACCAATGAAGTGAGTACTGATCTGGTCCGCCGGGCGGCCATCTTCGGGCGTCGACGAATGGTAATATATATGTGATTTAATAATTGGCCGATACCCCTTAGTCGGTTATTTAGTTTTTAAGGTAGCTCAGTTAAGGTCACCCGTATAAATATTTTTATCTAAAATGTTTCTTTTTTTCTCGTATGTTAAATTCTTCCGATATACTTAGGTTCACCCGTAGGGCCACCAAAACTATGGACCAGTCAACATGGAATAAAAAGCGTTTCCGCTACCCTTCCCGGTGGTAATTTATGTTACCCGGTAACCGCACATTCCTACCGGGGTCTCCTCAATACCTAAGGTGCCCACGTAAGTTCCACGTGGGGTGGGGGTCCGTCTCGGTCTATACCCATATCGGTCAGCACACACACGTGGATGTGGATTCATCCTTATCAATAAATATTAATGAGTCCCGGCCTGCACGCTCCCCGTGATACCTATCGTGTTTACCGGAAAACACTTACGACTGGTTGACGCCCCAATCAATGTACATGTATTTAAAATATAAATTGTCTGTAAGTATTAGTTTATAAGCCTATATATATACATCAATATGTCAATGTCAGAATCGTACCTATTATCCATTTTATCTCAGGTGACAGTTTTTATGCTCCTGTGCTTTTCTGTTGCATTAACTTAATTTTACTTTTTGATTGATAAATTAATAAAATAATTATGTATTTTCCCCAAAAGAAAACACGTGTTTATTTATTTAGATATCCCTTTTTCCCTTCCCTCCTCACAAAAATCCTAAGACTTCGGTCTTCGGACCTCGGTCCTAGGTTGACGACCTTGCTCCTAGGCGGGTAGTCAGCTGGGCGCTCAGGTCGGTTCTCTCAAACACGGCCGACCTAACCGGGACGTCTCAACTTATACTAGCTATAGGTCCACTAGTATAGATTTATCTTATTATTAACATATCTCTCTCTCTCTCTCTCTCTCTCTTAGTAACAATCCTAAGATTGGTTTGCAGCTAATTTCCTTTCATGGAATGATAGAATGCGCTTTTAATTGACTGATTAACTCTAAATTATCGTACACACCATAAAAATAAGCCATTACTTATATTCGAAATATTCAAGTAACAACTTACTTAACTGCCCAATGCCCCAATATAATATTACGAGTACCTACGACCCATTTATTAACACAAAATACAAATTATAAATTACAATTCACACAAATTATATACAATTATTCACTGTAAAATCGTTGATTGTGTTACGTGTGTAGTAAGCGTACTATAATTTTCATTAGCGTATTATTGTAAAATTAGTAGGTGTCAAGGCGAGTTACATCACTACGATATGTTTCCACGCAACTTGTAATGCTGTAGTCATACGAATTTCGTGTCTATTAGTTTAAGCTCTATGGCTAAGATCCAGAAGAAAAAAAGATTAAACTTTAAAATAACCTAAAATAATTATAAGATCATTATAGTATCATTAAATTACAAATAAAATGTATATATCTATGTGTCAATATCAATCGATGATAAACGGCTTGGTATTTTAAGACATGGCCTCAACAAATCAATTAAATGACATCCGAGAGTTTTTGATAAACGAAAATTTGTTATGAATAATTGTTCGGTCATCATAAACAGATGAGACAAAGGTCTGCGAAAAACATTTCGAACACTCCTATCCTCGTTTTCACAAACTTCATCTTCAACAAAATTATTAACCATAAAATGTGTCATAATATTTTAATCTTACATAATAAATAATTATATAGTAATGTAAATTTGAAATACCTGTAAGCTATAATTTAAATATTATAACGAGTATAAAATTATTTATGGATAAAAATTTGTATATTGTTTTAATTAAGTGATAATAAATTTGCATGCGATAAACATTTTATCATCACCTTTACACCATTAGACAAATAGTCGGATGATTCGTGTGCGACTTGACGATATCGTATTACAAAAATACAATATTTTTTCATCATGATTTCAAAAATTGGTCCCTGAGCTGGGAATTTTCATTTTAGTAATATCGTATAAAATGCTTAAATTATTAATACTATACAATGTCTGGGACTCAATTAAAATAATATTCATATTAGTACGTGCAGGTATAGGTCTTAGATACCTGCCTAATATCATATTTAATTTATGTGTAACAGTGGCGTAGTTACGGTGAGTGGAGTGTAAAGAGTTTCCATCCCTTCCTCCTCTTCAAAAAAAATTTTTTTTATAACGGTTAGGACTTAAGTTAATAGGTAAATATTACAATTAATATAAATTAACATATTATGTAATATAATTTATAGAAATTATCTGAGTGTTTACACTTCTATTTTAAGAAAACCAATTACAAAATCGACATAAACAGTGATAACGACAGCCGGCGTCCAACAACATCTGCATGCCGGCAATCTGTAAATAATTGGTCTTGTCAATTGACATTCACTATTATATACCCATTATTAACCTGGTATTGTATTAAACGTTGTATAATTTAATTTGATTTTTTTGAATTTCAAATGTCAGTATCGTTACTCGATACACGTACCTAGGTACCTATAATACAATTATTACATTTATACGTATCATCATTGGTTATAGAATAGAATAGTATCATTTAACCACATATTGACAGATTGTTGAAATTATATTAATCTGTGATTTAACTATAGACGATTACTGTAAATGATTTACAGTATTTTTTATATGGATAAATTTGTTATAGAGGTAAGCATATTATTGAACTATATTATATTGCTTAATAATCATGCATTATTTTTATATATATGTTAATACATTAATATATTTATAGATCACATATAGCTCAAACTGAAACTTTGAAAGCATAGCATTATTATTATTTATTTTTTCTAATAAAAGTGATTCAATTATTGCGTAGTAAACATTTTTAGTAGGTATTTATTGTTTAGTTTTGTTTATGTTACTATACCTAGTATAATTTAATGTTTATTTTTCTCTGCATAATATTAACTTTTATTATGGTATTTTTACGCGATTATTATAATGCAATACAATAATTAATTTGTACAGTCTCTACGTGTATTTATAACCGAATTATAGTAAACAAATTCCCAAAAATTAAAATTTTTGAAAAACTCAAAAGTGGCTTAAAAGTTCTGGCAATGATACAGTAAGAAAGTAAATCAAAAGACAACAAAAAATGTGTTTTGTGATTTTTTGATTAAATCATTTTTTCTGTTAGAAAACGTCATTTGTGTTTTATAAAATAATGAAGTCGTGAAATTGTACGTTTTCCCACTTTATGTCCCACTTAAACGCTTTTATTTAAAAAAAAAAGCGTCGAAAATCAAAAAATAATCTCTCTAAAGTACCATCTAGACAATTTGAGTTTTCAGAAAAGTTGCTACACGTAAAACGGAGTAAAGTTACTAGGAAAAACGTGTCCACAGAGTAGAAGAAAAAAACTAAATAAACATCTTAGTAAAATCAATAGTTCCCACGCTACGCTCGGAATCTAAAATACGCCTTTTAATATAAATTAATCGCATTCGATTATTTTATCATTATATTGCATAATATTTAACTCATTTCAAAAATTGGGTCCCAGGAATAGAAAATTACGTCCAGATAACGGCACTAAAACTTGGTAGGACCCGATGTTAATAGTTTCACATTCACAATCCTATCCTAGTTTCTGAGAATAAAGAGTAACGTGTGACAGGTCGTTTATCTTCATTGGGGATGTCTTCTATGTAGACGAATTTAATACATATATATATTGCATACCGCTCTTACATACAGGCAGCTGGCCATCATTTGGAATTCTTTATTTTACGATATCTAATTTCTTTCATTTGTAATTTTTAAAATCTAAGCTTGGCGAGGAAAGTATTGGTTTTACTCTGCGATGTGTGTGTTATTTTTGTCTATTAACTATGCTTTTCTACCTAATAATCGTGCTCCGAATATCAATTTTAGGAGTGATTTCTGGTATCCAATTTTGTCGAGTTGGTGCATTTGTAAGAATATTTTTGTTTTTTCTTGTATGGTTTAAAAAATGCCAAAATGGAATACATTACAGAAAGTACCTATATGAACGTAACACGACCATTCACATATTTATACAAAGTGCATTTTTCACGCGACATGCTCGCCGTTAAAATTAATTACCGCTACTCAACAGGGACAATAATTATAGAGGTGCCTGTATTATTGCCGGGCGCACGAGTGGCGGGCCATAAAGTAAAACCAAAAAAAAAAAACAAATAGGTAATAAAAAAAAACTAGATAATGCAAAAACCAAAAAACATTCAAAAAAGCTAAAAAGTTTTAATATTGTTATAACAAATTTAATTTCACTGGAAAAAATGCTAGAACTAGCCATGAAATAGCTATAATGGCAACACGATCCGCTATCAAATAAAAGACAATAACGAAAATAATATATTGTGTCTGTCGCGACGTCTATAATCAACGGTTCTAATACAACTAATAACTTAAACACCCACTAGCTGGCGACCGTTTTTCTAAGAAATGTTCGTTTTCGTTTTACGATTTTGATAAACGACCTAAGCGCGATTACACTTTTGTCCGCGTTCGCAGCAATACAAATTATTACTAAAGGACTTTGACGGGAAGTGGGGGGGGGGTTGATCAGAGGAAACCAGCTAAATGAAATGATTGCGCCCAAACGCTCTCACGGATTTACGGTTGGTTACCAACGAAATCGGCGAGCGCGGTCCACCGATGACCGACAGCTTTCCGCTCAAAGGGTCCATAAGGCTAAACTCACACGGACCACATCACGACCACGAAACGGCGGTCGCTCGTGATCGTTACATTAATAACGTATAAAATAATATGATAAACGCAATTGTATACAGACGGATCACTTTATGACGTTAGTCCAACAGCAATTGCTTACTTGTCGACGGTATTACCCACAACATTTTTGTCATCGGTGGTCGAACGTAGCACATATGGTGTTACGCGCCAACCACTTTCTGACCATTCGCGGCTAGCACGAAAATTAATTGTAATTTATTGTTAATCGTGACATTTTACTATCAATACAATTGTAGCATCCTCTTAACAACTACTCCGAAATAGTATCAAAATTTAAAATTCATCATTAAACCTCGCGTTTTGTTACCTGTATATTGTTAATCTGTTATATATTTTGCACAATTTATGAATTGTAAAAATTGAATTGTTATTAATTTTCACTTATATTTTTATCTGAGCTATTTTGTTTTTAAAATAATTACATCCCAAGATAATTTGAGACGTATCATACATTTTAATGCATACTATGAATCTAATAATTTGAACTATTTTCCAATCATTAACTGTAACGAAACTAAAATAATGATAGATAGGCATTTTCAATTAAAAATTAAACCGAGTACCTAATACATAGGTATAATTTAAGTAGGTATCATCCTCAGCAATATACTAATATCAGTAACATCATCAATAATTATTATTCACCATGTATTATTGCTATGTAATTAATGATTAATGTTCTCATGTAATTTTGTACGAAAGTGCCTAAGGGGTACATTTTTTTAATAAACTAAAATATTATTTTGTAGTTATCTAGGTACCTTTTAAAATACATTTTCCATCACTGAACTGAATGCTTTTATTTTAACTTACTTCAGCAAATATAAGAACTAATCAATCACGATCCACGCTACACTTATGGTTAGATATCAAAGAAGTTGAATATA